CTTATGCGGATACAAACTGCATTATGTTCAATGGCCGCCGAGCCGAGAATTTCACTTCACTACTTTCAAAACTAAACTACTGTTTACGCAGGTACGGTTTAACGTGATTTCACTGTAACAAATGAGACGCTTATTCACATGCATCCGTACCTGTGAATACGTTTTGTGCATCATTTGTGTGTCAGGAACGCGGGGCATGTTTTGATCTGCTTTTAATTCTGCGCGTGACCTTTCAATTCGTTGCTATCGCATTCATTGCTTGGCCTTTCCGGCAAAGCTGTGACTTTTTTTTGTTTAAACAGCGCATTAATTGTCGAGGGGTAAACATTGTTCGTTTGTTCTCGTCCTGTGTATATTGTTTTCGTGCGACATTTGTGCCACGTTTCGTTCTGCTTTCCGTTCTAAGCATTACATTTCAAGTTGTTATCACATTCATTGCTTCGCCTTTGCGGGGAAACTGACTTAATTTCAGACAACCGTGTTCTCATCACCGAGGAGATGTCAGATTAGGCGGTGATGAAAACTCTCCGAGACCTCGGTGACGAAACATTTTCAAAGATCGACTCATCACATGCTTTCATCTTGTGCCCCACCGCGAGTTCGCAGGCTGGTAGCTTTTGCGATTAACCGATTAGTTCTGGCAAGACGGCGGCACGCTCCATGTATTGCAATGATGCAAATAAGGCTGGGAGCCAACTCTTTTAAATCCATTATCGCGGAAATCCTATTTAAAAAAAACAATGCTGGTGTGAGCAAATACGGCCGCTCCAGGAAGAAGTGCTCTTTTCACACAATCTCTTCACGTTGAACCACACCAATACTCGCCGAGATAGCAAGTGCGTCAGCCGTCGCGACCGCCCTTAAAATCCAAGTTCATTATTGCAACTCGAGTGGTCTACTTTCGGTTTGAGCATTCGACGGCAGGTATAACAACACGCAGGAGATGATATGCACTGCTCAGGCGATAGGAATGGGCCGACTCATTTGATCTCTACTTCAGCAGCACTTGTGCACTTTCACCCGCTAGTGAAAGTTACGATGCGCGGGTGCATATGTATTATCAATTTGGACTTGTTACGGAACATGGCGGTGAAGGCAAAAACCCGCCAAGAGTGTCCATATAATTTGTATCGTAATATTAACGCAGTTTTTCTACTATAAAATAAGTGTTTTGGGTTAGCTTAGCCTTCAGTACACCTTTTGTTTAATTTGTGCACTTATTTACCAAATTTTCGTACCAAACCTGCATATAGCGAAATCCTCATTATAACAAATTGTTACGAGGATTTATCAATTTTGTTATATCCAGGTTTAACATCTGAGATTCAGGAAGCTGAAAATTTCTGGTGTCTGACTTTTCTAACATCCTGCCCAAATTTCAGCTTCAAAATAGTGTTATTTGAGCCCCCACCTACGCCACACATATGATCTCCATGTTGGAACAAGCGTGTTTTTAATCTACCGTATATACTCGTGTAAGGGCCGCACTTTTTTTTCGAAAATTTTGCTAGGTGCGGCCCTTACACGAATCAGGCCGATTTAGTACAGGCAGTACAGGCCAAAGGTCTGTACTGTTTATGCAACAGTAGCAGAGTGCAAGAGTCACAAATGACATGCCAGAAATGTTTTTATTCGGATTCCATTTCGCTGTCCTCGTTCTCGGAGGAGCTCGCCTCGGCGTCCGCGTCTTCCCAGAGACGGTCATCTTCGGTGCCGTTCATGGAGTTCGAAATTCCCGTTACCTTGAAGCTTTTAGCAACTACTTCTACTGACATGGCACGCCACGCATTCAAAATCCATTCACACACCTGTTGGAGCGACGCCCGCTTCAGCCGTCCTGTAGGGGTCTTCTCGTGGACGCCTCCAGCCATCCATTCAGAGTAACATCGGCGAAATTCCACTTTGAATGGTCTGTTGACGCATACGTCGAGCGGCTGCAGCACACTCGTCAGGCCACCGGGAATGACGGCCAAGTCCGTACGAGTTGCGGCAACTCGGTTCTTGACGCGGTCGGTCAAGTGGCCCCTAAAGCTGTCCAAAACAAGGAGGGCTTTCCGTTGTAACAGCCCTCCAGGTCTGTTTGCCCAGACGGTCTTAATCCAGTCAACGACCAGTTCCTCGGACATCCAGCCCTTCTCTTGCGCACGTACGACGATTCCCTGAGGGAACTTCTCTTTTGGGAGAGTCTTCCTTTTAAATACGACGTACGGCGGAAGCCTCCTGCCGTCTGCCGTGATGCACAACATCACAGTGCACCTTTGGCGTTCTGCACCAGTCGTGCGCACAGACACACTTTTCGCACCTTTTAAATCCACTGTGGTGCTTTCCGGTGCATCGAACCACACAGGTGTCTGGTCCGCATTCCCAATTTGGGACAGGTCGTATTCATGCTCCCTCCTGAGAGCATTCACGAAGCGATGAAACTTAATGACGTGGTCTTCGTACTCGCGCGGCAGTTTTTGGCAAATCGTCGTTCGGCGCCGAATAGAAAGCTGGTTACGGTTCATAAACCGCGTAGCCCAGCCCCGACTTGCCTTGAATTGTGCCGGGGGTATTTCCATGTGGCGAGCGATGCTGAGGGCTTTGACGCGTATCATGTCAGTCGATACGGCGTAGCCGTCCCTTCGTGTGTCGACGACGTAGTTGACGAGCTCGCTTTCGAGTTGCGGGTACTTGCACTTTTTCCCGCGAAACGCCTTTCGGCTCCTGTTAGTAGCGGCGAGGGCATCTTTCTGATTCATCCAGTAACGCACGCGCTTCTCATCGACGTCGTACTTTCGTCCAGCTTCCCGCTTCCCGTGCTCCTCGGCATAGTCAATCACTTGCAGCTTAAATGCTGCAGTGAATGATCTCAGATGCCGGCCCATCGTCCGTCACGTGCGCTGGCTTCTGCAGGGTTCACTACAACCAACAAAGTGACACCGACGACACCGATCTGAAGTCGCGCTGCCAACGTATCGACACGATGCTAGGAACGATGCCAACAAAGAGGCCGCACAAGGCAAATATGGCGGCGCGCTGTCAACAGCGTGGTCGGCGCGTCGGCGGAAGTAGAATAAAAGCGGAAAAGCGTGCAGCGCCATCTGGCTGTAAATGAACTAACTACACTTTTCTGGCGGGACATTTTGAACTTTTGTTTTTTTTTTTTCGAAATATCCGCTTTCAAAGTTGGGGTGCGGCCCTTACACGAGGGCGGCCCTTACACGAGTATATACGGTATACATTTTGACAGTAGCGAAACCTGAAAGGCTGCTTTCCAGCAAAATGTGATGGGGTGATGAAAATTAAAAATTTTAAGGGGCTACTAACTGCTAATCCAATGTTAGCTGTATGCATCATATGGAAGCCTGAATTTGTAGTAATATTCCAGTGCAAATCAAATCAAATACACAACACAACTACAGAAATTCTAATATTCACACACCCCTAACAAACTGCTGTTGAAATGAAGCATGCTAGGATCGCTTCATTATCAGGCTAAGCTTGGCTGCTTGCAGGGGCCACATAGCGTACCTGCCCCTTCTGCAACAGGACTCACTCATTAGAACTTGCACTTCATTAATAATCACTGAAGTCTTTTGTCACAATGCTGTCGAATACACTTAGCATGTGTCAGCAGAACTAGCCTGCCCCATGCTGCTGAGCAAGATGGAGAGATCTTCACACGGCAACGCACCCCCCACCCCATTATTATGGTGCATTGTAAGAAGTAGATTTTACTGCGCATGTGCAAATAAAATTTATTGTACACTTGTGTTTACTGCAGAACTGCTGACATTTTTAATTGCTCATCAAATAAACATTTATAATAGACAAACAAATCAATTTAGATAGTTGATTCTATACTTAAAATTGATTCTATATTCAAAATTCAAATATGCGTACGCCCAATACTACCACAGACATATTAGAATTGGGCGCACAAGGAATGAACTTTAGATACCGTATTTATTCACGTAATGAACCCACCCCCACCTTGATCCTTGAAAAAGGGAAAAAAATTTTTTTTAAATGCATCTGTTCACTTTATTTCCGTATGATAGCCAGTGCCATTAATGATTGAAACGTTAAATCAAGCCATTATATGACAAAATAACAACACAATGAAAGCAAAAGATAGTTATGCAATCATGCTAAACAGACGTGAGCAGCACGAGCGCAGACGACGTCAATTAAAATTTGAAAGTCGCGCCTTGTACGGCAAAGCGCCATCTGTCCAATGCAGGAGAAACCTTTTTGCTATAGCGCCATGCAAACACAGCGGCGAAAAACTGCGTGGCATCTAAAATGGCGCTCGGGCTGCGTCATGGAACACGCCGCACGCTCGCCATCTTGAACCTATGCAAAGTGTAACCGCACCCACCGCGCTGACAGCGTGTTGTGCACCCGCAACGTCTAATACAAAGTTTGTTCACCACCATTCGTCGCTGCATTTTCGTTGTTGAGTTTGTCCTAAACTTAGTTGGGGACACCTGCTGTGCAGGCCGCGTTCGGCCGGTACGCTAGCTAGATGGCTGGTTACTAACAGCATGCGCTGGAGCATTGAGACCGAGCGGCCGAATGACACTTTGGCGTCGATCCATGCACTTTCGTTACTGAACTAAACAAAAAGAGCTTCGAAATACAAAAAAAATTTGTCGCGCTTTTCACGGGTGAAAATAAGCAAACTCGTCGCCCGAAATTTTCGCTGTTATAACTCCCGTGCTATCTTTCTCCTGCGTAATGAACCCACGCCCTAAATTGGCATCAACATTTCTGGGAAAAAAAAAAAAAAAAAGAAGATGGGTTCATTACACGAGTAAATATGGCAATAAATATTGTGAGAAAATGCGCAGGCTGCTAGCACACAGAGCCCACACAGTGACAACACGATCAAATGCAACCAATTTTCGTTTATTCTTTAAAATATTATGGTTGCTTGAGACTTGTGAATTGTTCCTTACTTTGCACGAAAAAACACTTTCAGGCTAAATGGCGAAGTGACGAAAGGCACCACTCACGACCTCCATTCCTGAGGCCCGCTGCATTGAGCAGGTCGAGCAGGAAGGACCTCTTGTCGTGCTCCTCGACCCACACCACCTTCTGGGTGATGTTCTCGGACGTACTGCCCACACGTCCCACGGCCAGGAAGATGTAGTTGTCCAAAAACTTACGTGCCAGTTCCTGCAGGAATACGCACATTCCGTTACGAGTGCACGTCGCAGTTCAATTCAAAGCCACCTTTGCATGAGAGTTTCGCATTAGCTATCGTACAAGGCAAACTCTCACAAACCTGCACTTTCTTGGGGAAGGTGGCAGAAAACATGAGTGTCTGCCGCTGGCCAACGGGGGGCATGTTGTCCTCGAGCACAATGCGCCGGATCTGGGGCTCAAAACCCATGTCCAGCATACGATCGGCTTCATCCAGAACCAGGTACCGCACAAGCTCCAGGCTCACCTACAACGACCACAGTTGTGCATTTGTAGCTGCCTTCCTGAAAATACTCTTTCTATACAATCCAGTAGAACATGGTACACCACAGCAAAACACACACACACACACACAAAGACATATATAGTACGATATTTACTCGCATAACTTGTGCACTTTTTTCCACGATTTTGGACCTCAAAGAAAAACGTGTGCAAAAAACGCGGGGATTCTGCGAGCGCATACGAAATAATGTGCAACCGTTTTAACGCATGCAGTAGAACTTCCGATTATACGTCCCCTGATTTCCTGACGACCCGCAGTTTACGATGAATCAGCTAGGTCTCTGCGAAATTCCTATAAAAATAATGTATTAAAACCATGGTTATACAACGCAGTTTTATGCGGAACCTGCATCTTAGGACGACATTCAGATTTCGTACAAAAGAAAAAGAACGCCTTTACTCGAATCAACCGTGGACCAAATACTCACGAGTGCAAAACAAACTTGCGTTTCCGTAAGTTGATGATTAGAAAAATAGAGAGAGAGACAGATGTTTTCTTAAAATGGAAAATTTATTCTCGTGGAAGTTCATGCGCTTTTACATACGCCGCAATCGCGTGTGCACTTATTTGTGGTCATTACCTAGCCAAGCGCTATCCACACAATCTAGCTCCAGTCGGCCGAAAAGCTGATATTTCCATGTTTTCAGTCCATGGAAACAATTTATGGTCAACATAAAGCTGATATCCTGCCTTTGTCGCACTCGCAGTCACAGGCTTGCGGATGCATAAGGGCGCGAAGCAGCTGTTTTCCCTGTGAAAGATTGCTTTCACTTGACGTCGACGTTCATACTAACAGCAGGGCATCACTAGTTGCACTTCACAAGACTACAATTTACAATGCGCATAGCTCAGTCGCACACGAAGGCATTCTACGCACACTAGTGATGGGTTGCCATTATGTGACAGTGATGACACTGTGTTCAACGCTTCTGACGGGATGTTATTGGCAATACGGTTTCGGTTTCGTTTTCATGTGCAGACAATTTTCGGACTATTTATCAGCAGAAAGATGCGCATTGAATTCAATTCTATTTAACTCTTTCCTTACTGTCCCATAGAGCATCGATCACTATGAATTGATGGTTTTACAAGCCCCGCCAAAAATAGAAATGCGCGCTCGCGGGCACTTAACGCCATCTGGCCGGAAATATAAGAACTACTCTACACTTCTTTTTTGTTTCGCTCTATCGGCGGGAGCTCCCCCGCAAAAAAAAAGAAAGAAATAAGAAAAAAAGAAAACAGACAACGGAGGAGGTAGTGTCGCGCTTCGCAACATGGCTCTGAAAGCGAATCGCCCGTCGCCAAAGAAAAAACTTGGGAAACGTGATTACGCTGCCTCTACTGCTCATGTTCTTGATTTGAGCTTTAGTGAGGACTCTATAGAACAAGTTGGATCATCAGATTTCGACTCGAACAGCAATGATTCATCTTCACAGCGCGGACCTTCATCCCGTGAGTCAAATTAAGTGTAGGTTCGGATGTTGATGTTTTTGTACCATGAGGGTGTTTTGTAAGTGACGACACTTGTTTACGTTTTCTTACTAGGGTGTCAACTACCTGTGGAGGCGATATTTTGCCGAATGCACCAAGTAGAGTCAAGTTCTTACCTAAACGGACACCTGGGGTACATCTGGATGTGACGTGCCAAAGGGAAACGCGAAGCTTTATCCGTGCAGTGGACATGTTTATGATGTTTTTCACTGCTGAATTGGTCTCAACTGTCTGTCAATACACCAACAAGTACGCTTGGATGAAAATTTTCGAAAAACCCAGCTACGCAGAAGCAGACGGCTTTTGGCTTGAGGTCACGCCACCGTAGATGTTGCGGTTCTATGCACTCCTTCTTTACATGGGTATCGTGCAAGTGCCACGCCTTCATATGTACTGGAACACTGGGTCAATATACGGTGGTCTCTTTCCAGTGCAGATCATGAGTCGAAAATGTTTCTTTTCTCTCTTCGCTTTCTTGCACGTCTCTGATCCGGAGCATCAGAGTACTGCATCAGCCGGAAAACTGCGGAAGGTGTGGCCACAGCTTCAACATATCAATTGTTCAACGGGAAGCCATTGCAGTAGATGAAAGGATGGTGAAAACGAAAGCAAGATCGGAAATTAGGCAATATATTCGTGATAAGGTGACGAAGTGGGGTTAAAAATTGTGGGTTTTAGCTGAATCTGAAACAGGGTACCACATGGATACCACATGAAACAAGGTACTACACGACGCGCGAAACTGCTAGCCGCTGTTCCGAGCAATCCTTGGCAGTGAAGTGGGGAGGGGTGTGTGACGAGCTTGACTGTGTGGTCCAATGCCAATGCGTAAAATGCCCGTACGTGGTTCACGAGTGATGTGCTTCATTGCTTGCGAAGAAGCACGTTGCCAAGAGTGCGCTAGCGCGTCGTTCCTGCCCGCAGTCTCGCTGTCAGCAGAGTTAGGGCTAAAGACGACTCCGATGATGCACTCACTCGTAGTAAACTGATCGTGCCGCCGCTTACAGCTTCACTGCTCGCGAAGAAGCACGTCGCCACGAGTGCGCTAGCGCATCGCTCCTGCCCTCCGTCGGCAGAGTTAGGGCTAAAGACGACTCCGATGATGCGTTGCGCTCGTAGTAATCTGATCGTGCATACGGTGCGGCCGCTCGTGGTAAAGTGATCGTGCCGCCGCTTACAGCTTTGTTGCTTGCGAAGAAGCATGTCACCACGACTGCGCTAGCGCGTCATGCCTGCCCGCCGTCTCACTGTCGGCGGAGTTGGGGCTAAAGACGACTCCGATGACGGGCCGCACTTGTAGACCATGCGCCCGCTCTTAGTAATCTGATCGCGCATCCGCTTACGGCTCCTAACTAATGCGTAATCACATCCTAAGTGATCATCGAGCCGTGAAAACGTAACGAAGTAGCGATTTTCAAGAGCGATGTCCTTGCGACGCACAAGCAGCAGACGACGATCTCCAGAGCGAGCATCGGGCCATTGGCGAGGCGAGCTGAGGCAACATGGCGGCCACAGCCAATCAAGGGCCTCGAAACGACCTTCAAACATTTGCTTTTTGTGCGCTTGTTTTTAAAGGGAGGGGCCAGCTGAGGCAAGCAAGTTACACAGAGAAATGCTCTTTCTGATGAGCCCAAGAAGCTGGCTCCCGGCCCCGCCATTGCAAAGCCATAATTTTTCGAAAAAAGCTGTTTTCTCGCGATTTACAAAAAAAGTTTCGCTACCTAGGTGGGTGAAACAAATCTTCCAAAGCACTCCCGAGTGGTTCTCAGTGTAGATATTTTGGAATCAGATAGAAAAAGGGTTCCAGAAACCCAAAACTTGATTTTAAAAAAAATAGATTTTTTTTGCCAATTTTCTTGTTGAACTTTCTTGTTTCTGGTTAGATCTTGATGAAAATTGGCACAGAGACTAAGAATGACCTCATAATGGTTCCATAAAAATTTCAAGATGATATCATGAAAACTTTCTGAGAAACAAATAATTTCATTACTGGACCTCGTGGAGCGGCTGGAGAGTTTAAAAAATGACATAGAAAGTTGGTAAACACTGTGTGCAGAGGTGAATGTATGCTGTAGGGAGCTGCGTTTTAAAAATAATTTTTTTGCAACACTAAAATTTGTAGTTTATGTTTTCTCCACTGATACTTCAATGAGCACATTTGCACTACAAACAAGAAACCCTACCAAAAATGTTTAAAAGACTAAATTTTTAAAATAAGAACGCAGCTCCCTGAAGCAAGGAGCATTACAAAAAAAAAAAAAAAACAGAATCAAAATCTGTCAAGTAGTTGCGAAGATATCTGCTCCACGAGCTGAGCAACATGCCAAAAAAACAGTATTGAGAAAACGAGGTTCAAAGTCTTGAGTCACGGTTTACATGCCTAATAGGCTGCAGGGTTGTAGTTCTTAGTGTCCTTTGCAGTGCGGTGTCGCTTGGCCATCTGACCTTTAGCCTGATGATGAGCTTTCGCAGCCTTTTTTTTCCGCATGGCATCTTTTTCGGCTGCTCTACGAAGTGCATGGCGTCCAGGTTGGAGACCAAGTGATGTGCAAAGTTGGGTGTAGGCATGGAGGTTCCCAGCATTATACCTACAGATTGCTTCACTGACAGCAGTTTCTGCGGCTATCAATGAAGCATGCTCTTCTTTAGGCAGAATTTGAATCATGAGAAATCATGCAAAAATACAAGTCCATTATGGTCAGGCAGTTACATAGAACAGCTGTTTGTTTACAATGATTTGCAAATTCAGCTTTCTCAGTAGGCACCAGGCATGTAGTCCTTCTGTCTTGCGTCACCTAAATGGCATTTTTTCAATGCCCGCTGCACGTTTTCCGCAAGCTGATGCGGTCGCCGTGTGCTCGTCTGCCGACTAGGCCGCTTATCAGTTCGGTGACGCCTATGTGCGGCAAATGTGCGCGCGCAATCCGCGATTCGTCGTATAATAAAGCGGTTTTCTGGCTTGTCCAGATTGAGTTGTTGATGTCGCAGACCGAACTCGTGCACTCGCTTATCAATTTCAAGGCTCCAAATGCAGCGAGGTGTTAGTTTCCTTTTCACGCAAGATTGCCACTTTTTCGAGTGGAGGCCGCAGTGCAATAAGTTCATAGTTGCGGACGCGAAGTTACAAGCCCTCTACCTGTTGCCAGTAGCCTTCATTGCGGGGGTGGCGAGCAAGTTTACCATAAACCGATTGATTTTTTTGTTGTTTGCCGACGCGCGGCTAACTCCACTCTGACGACTCGTCACGCAGTTCACGTGAGACGGGGGATACCCGCGGCATCGGGGCGTTTACGCTAAGACTACGCTTCCGTTCCATCGATGCAAAGATTGCTATGTCTCGTAGCTTCACTTCTGCTTCTTTACTTGCCGTCCTGTAACTGTTGAAGCTCCAAAACACTTACGCTTTCAGCGACGTCAACAACCGACGGGCTCGTACGCGAGTTAGGCTTACACCGGTGACTTGGCGACTGCCGCGAGTTTGCTATCCTCCCTGTCCCGAGTGAAAGCGGGGCTCTTTCTGAAGTTCACAGCGAACGAACGATCACCACACCCACTGCACAAATTAGTGCGGCGAGGAACTCCTTTACTGCGGCAGGAAGTCAACAGCACCATGACAAAATGGCACATGTCTGTGCGCGTCGCAATTAAAAAGGAGACGCCGGAAACGCAACTTGGCCAATGGGGAGTCGAGGTTGTGACACGTGCTCCAAGCAGCCAATAGAATCGCGCAGTGGTGCTTCTCGATGATGCGTGGTTGCTGAAAAACCAATGAGCAAGGCGAGCCACTGGTGGCTGGAAATTCAAGATGATGAGCCACCCTTCCAAACGAGACCAAGATGACCACGATATCTGATGTGTAACAACAGTTCAGCGTGGAAAAAGCGCGACTAGTGTCTATTTGAGCACAGATTCATCTCACAGGGGTGTTATAAATTGATCTTGTGGCAGAAATAATGGTGCGGAAAGCTTGAAACTTCTCAAATAGGTGTGAAAACAGTTTTCGATTCCGAAAATGTCAACTTCAAAAAGTCTTTTTTTTTTTTACGATTTTCGGCCTTTGAGACCCGTGTCCGCCCTTAAGGGGGCAGACTGGTCTTAGACATTTTTTTGTTTATTTCTTCAGTGATCTCGATCAAGCTGTACAGGATTATGCAGTTTTCCTGCAGATTTCAAATATTTAATTAGTTTTTCTGGTAACTCATCTTGTTCCTGAGATAACTCAAGTTCACCCCCTATTTTTAAGGCCACCACAGAAAAAAGTGCTTAATTAAAAGTGATATTTAAAATATCCCAACATAGACTAAGGACTATAGATTGAAATAATGCAAGTGTTTTTGTTTTCTTTAGGCCTTTCCTGGTTAATTTACAGCAAAATCGGTTTTCAAAAGCAGTTGAAATTGTGTTACAATGTTGATGAGTAATTAATTAAAAAGGCTTGTTCTCTAAATTCTGCTTCCATACTTGCACTCTACACACATACAGGTTTCCATTGCAAAAAGAATTATTGTGGTACCTGCCCTAGCTGCAGAGATATTGAGGCCTGAAAATTGAACAGTCATAAATTTACTTTTTTTAAGAAAAATGGAAAAAAAAAAAAACTGAAAACAGCCAGCTTCTTCAAAAAGCAACAATCATGATGCGCATGTTTTGCAATCGTGATAAAGGTGCTCATAAATTTATAGCAGAGCTTCTAACACAGGTCCCAGTAAATTATAAAGAGGCCTCGAAGTTGGTTCCCCATTTTTTTTTTTGCAGGTTCTGCACGTTAATAGCACCAATAATCTGGACAGTTACAAAAAAATCGCCACTTCCTGGAGTGTGAAAATTTGCAGAGACCAAATATGTCCATTTTAAAAAACGATTTCTTTTTGTCGCTTTTTGGTCTCAAAGACCAGTCTGCTCTCTTAAGGTGGTAGGCCACCTTCAAAAGTCTTTTTTTCGCGAAATAAATTTCTAGGGTTTCGTTCTTTTTTACACGCCAAAACATTCACATATATGTTGCAACCAAAATTATCCTCCTAGCGTCATTAGTTTGCGAGTTAGAGCAAGTTTTCTATACCCTATGCTCCTATAGCAAAACCGAAACTACATTTCCAACTGTGGTTTCGGTTTCGAAAAATCGCTTTCAAAAGCAAGTGTTGTTTCGTCTATATTAATGCTATTCAAAATACTTTATGCACTTTATTGTGACTGTTATATAAGATGATATCATTAAATACAACTTTGTGCTTAAACATCTTCGTTAATCTCTAACAACAGCAACAAGGGAGATGCACGATGCTCGTCGGACTTTTTGTTGTTTGCCTTGGTCAGGCTATGTCAGGCTTCGCTCTGGATTTGTTCCACGTGTCAACGCTACTAAGGCTGTATCTTTAGGCCACCTGGACCATATTACGACCAGCATGGGGAAGTGCAGAACACAGAAGACGAGGAAGCGCAAGTTTGCTGGAAATCGCTACATGACGACGAGGCTGCCTACTGACACAGACGCCGGTATTTCGGCGACCGCGAAGAAGCTTGGGGACATAAACAAGGCGTACCAGGCTCCACTAGAGAAATCTGCGCTCTAAGGGAACAGGATAATGGACATTGGTATGCTTTCTTCAGTGTTTTCACCGCTGGCATGTTCCAAATGCATGAACACAACGCTGAAGCTCAAGGAACGCTCTCACTAAGGGATATGCTCGGCTTGCGGTCGTGTGTACGGACTGTGGGTTCAAGCCCCCATTTCATACGTCGAGAAAGGTGGGTCGTGCCAATGAGAACAATTTACGTCTGGTTTACGCGATGTGCCAGTTAGGAAAAGGGCACGCTGGTGTGAAAACTTTTTCCAAAGTGATGAACAAGCCTGCCCCTCCATGTCACTCCGTCTACGACAAATTGTCACCTCGGCTTTCTGCAGCGGCAGAAGTAGTGGCGTCGAAGTCAATGACTGATGCTGCTGTGGAAGTTCGTCGTGTTGTGGGGAGTGCCAAGTGTGGTGTGAAAGGTGACGGCACGTGGCAGAAGCGTGGCCATTCATATTTGAACGGTTGTGTGTCAGTGATTTCTCTTGACACGGGAAAGGTTATTGATGTTGAGGCCCTTTCTAGTTCGTGTAAGTCTTGTAAAACCAAAAGCAAGTTGAGGCAAAATAGTGCTTCGTACCAGGAATGGAAGGCAAACCACACTTCCTGTCAAGCAAACCATGAAGGAAGTGCTGGCAGTATGGAGACGGTTGGTCTGTACCGAATATTTGAAAGGTCGAAAGGCAAAAGAGATTTGAAGTACCTGCAGTACTACGGCGGTGGTGATTCGAAGAGCTATGCCGCTGTCAAAGACGTATGGAATGGAAAGTGTGCAGAAACTGGAATGTATTGGGCATGTCCAGAAGCGTGTTGGCTGCTGCCTCAGAAAACTGAAGAAGACAGTACGTGGACACGGTGGCAAGGAAAAGCTCATTGATGCCCTCATTGACCGCCTGCAAAACTACTACGGGATCGCCATAAGGGCTAATGTGGGGAACCATTCTGCAATGAAAAAGGCTACCCTTGCCAGTCTTTTTCATTGCAGCTCTACCAACAAGCAGCCGAGACATGGCCTGTGTTCACTTGGACCAAAAAGCTGGTGCGGATAACAAAGAGTCGAAGCACTCGGCACAAAGGAGGACTTCCAAATGATGTGCTCAACAAAGTGAAAACTGCCTACAGTGATCTGTGCTCTGATGAACTTCTAATGAAGTGCCTTCATGGAAAGACTCAAAATGCTAATGAGTGTTTCAAAGGTCTAATATGGCAGCAGGCACCCAAAGAGGTCTACGTAAGCTTGCTTACAGTAATGTTTGCCTTGCATGATGCTGTGGCACACTTTAATGATGGCAGTGTAAGCACCCTAGATATCCTGAGGCAAGCTGGCATAGAACCAGGGTACAACACCATGAAAGCTTGCATCGCCAGGGATCCCCTGCGCATACAGAATGCTTGCTAACACAAGTCAGAGGATGGGACAAAATAGGCCGGGAAGAAAAGACGAGCACCCACCCGAACACAAGGAGACAATAATGCTTTCGCCGAAGGGCCCAGCTATGAATCTGGTGCATTTTAGGCCTGCATGCGAAGGTTGTGACCCTTTTTACAAGCTTGGAAATCTTTGTTTACGTTTTTCGGAAAATAACAATTTGCTCCAAATGCTTCGACGCAAACTTTCATAACGTATTTCTCAGTGTATACTTTGAACTGAATTTTTTCACAATGATTTAAAACATATATGTGCAGTGAACTAGAATAAAAGAAATCCATCGAATATTTTTCAGTTCACAGCTGAATTCTCCAACAGGTTCAGTCTAAATTGGCTCTTTTTCCCAGTTTTTTTTTTTTTTAGCATTACTTCCTTGATATTCACTGCAAATTATTTATTCTAGATTCTAGTTCACTGCATAGATCCAGCCATTAGTTACACAAATGTCAAACCTTTACTGAATAAAGCCACCCATTCGTCACTTATCACAGCTGGCGTGGCTAGCACTTTTAATGCAATTTTTGACAAAGATTACCTCCCTATAAATAAATATGCAATATTTTGCTCAGTAAATAGCTGGGTAAATTAAATAAGACATGCTGGTTTTGAGGAAAAAGTTATTTCAACGCTGCCTGCCCTTGAAAAAATTTGTTTTTGAGTGGCCTACCACTTTAATTAAGTGTTTGTGTACGGTATTTTAAGGTTCCTAAATTGGGGGAAGCTCTTGGAAGAAGAAATTTTGCACGCACAGCCCGTTCGACTTGCTAGCCTGATCGCCGGTGCGCGCACCCGATGCACCCGTGCTAAGAATCCAATGATCTGAAGTCTCTTTGAGCGCACGCTGGCTTGAGGAGCACGAAATATGCATTTTTTCCCGTAAAGCTGGCCAAATAGTGTGCGCAAAATTGTGCAAGTCAATACGGTGTTCACCACTGTGAGGATTGAGAGAAATGGGCAAAATAAGAAATAAGAAAGTGCGAATGGAATTTCATCTTAGAGTAGAACCCAGCCAGGGGAAACCCACCTTGCCGCGCTCCATCATGTCTACCAGACGCCCTGGCGTGGCCACCAGTAAGTGGCAGCCTCGGTCCAGATCCTTCATCTGCTGCACGGGATCGGCACCACCATACACCACACAAGGCCGCACACGCGAGCGGTACGCAAACTTGCAAGCCTCCTCGTAGATCTGGCAGGCCAGCTCACGCGTCGGGCTCAGGATCAGCGCCAGCGGGTACTGCTTGGGCCGACTCGAGTACCGGTGGGGCTGCACGGCACCATACAGGAAGGGTTTAAAATGACTCGTTCACTTCTCAATTAAGCTGAGACAGAGAACAACAAGTTACAAACTCGGGCTTTCCAGAAATGTCAACAAGACGGTTGAAAAAATATAGCGATGCAAACAATGTGCCTCCTAGCTAGGCATTCACCACCTTGGGAGAGTCATATACATCTCAAGGGGAAACGCGGGTCTTGAAACTGCGAAAAATTGCAAGAAAGATTTCTGAAATGTGCAGTATTGCGAAGTTCAAACATTTAATAATCTCCCGGCAAATCAGAGAGCTTAATTCTATCGAGAAATATTTTTCAACATCAACTCATAGATTTCGATTCTACAGAAAAACTGTATATGGGTGTCAAGACAACTAATGAATTAAACTTCACGACCCAGGACCCAATAGTGAAATATATTAGTATTAGGCCCCGAGACTCGATTTTTTCAAGGAATATTCAGCATTGTACACTGATTAAAATTATCTAATTAGATTTTCTTTACATCAATCCAAAAAACAGTTACAACTATTCTTATTTTACATATTTATTATGTGACTTGCATAAAAAGTAATGCATTAAGAGAGCTAAAATTCAACCTGTATGTTGCTGATTATTTAAATAGTGCAAATATGCAATTTAGTGCTGGTATGTCAACTTTATCCAAAGTGTTTATGTCGCAGTCTCTAAGTTCTTAAGTTTCACTGGTGATTTCTGACAAAATAAAGAAATCGCATCAGTATTAGCGACACAGTGCTCATCTCAAGATTCATAACATGCAAAAATCTGTATTCACAAAAAAATGCAAAAACAAAAAAGTTGTGAAAATGAAAATTTAATGCATGAAAGCCACAGCACTTGTATTTATAATCACTCAGAAAGCCCCTGCAGAGTAGTCTGAAGCAGGCTTTTGCTTGTGCTTCTTTTTTGCGGCTGCCTGGAATGCAGCTGAAGACGCACGTTTCCTCGTCGAGCTGACGGCTCGGCGATAGTCTTTCAATTGCTTGCTGGTTACCTGTGCATGCTTGATCTCCTTGCAGTTCACACAAAATAAGCGAACTAGATACCTTGTTCCTTAAGTTGAAACTCATTAACAGCATCTGCCACGGCAGTCTCAACGGCAAACAATGACGCATTCTTTCTTGTCCTTCTGTGAGAGGCTCCAAATGACCGAATGCAAGGCCTCATTCGCATTCTGCGTCTTTCTTTGGTGCATCTCTGCAGGAGCTTCTTGTCGGACAAGCGTTCATAAACAGGATGCAGTGCATTGCTCACAGCCTCTGGAGAGTTGTACTTGCTTTTTGGGATTGACTCATTCCTTGCCATACTTGCACCATGCTTGCACCAATACTAGGGACCGTGTGGACAGAAGCTGTGGTCAGATTTCTCGTCTGTGGATGTCACATGGTAATACGTAGCCCACACAGCCTTGTGCATATCATCCACATTCCCAGAAAGGGATTTCAAAGCCCAGCCGCAATAACTCGTCAATTTTGCGATGAGGTCACCTGTGAGGCGGCCCTTGCCACTGATGCGCTCACTGCTGTCTTCTTTGTGCTTCTGAACGAGGTTCCGAAGTGCAGTCCCCATGCGCTTGTACACATGGTTTGAGCAGTCTTCTTTTTCAACATTTATGATGCCGTACAACTTAGCTTCTTTGACAGCCCTGTATGACCGGCTGTCACCATTACAAAGCATGGTGGTGTACCTAAGACCATGAAGCGAAAGGGAGCGGGGAAAGAAAATCATCGTTGCCTCTACTCCATCTGGCCAGCTTTGAACGAGGTATTTTTCTAGCATGAATGTTTGGCTTTCGATTGGGAATATTTTGGGCTATCGGGTGTCGGACCACATTCACAGCTAAGAGAAAAATTAGAAAGCATTACATAGTCTAGAACATAACCAGAAAAAACTTTTACCACAGAGGCTGCTACAATGGGAGAGGTGTGTCCTCTTGTGTGCCAGCTTCCATGAAAAGAGATGGCAATATTTCCGGGGTTGCCGAAATTGAGGTCCTTGTAGAGGCTCTTTACCGCTGTGGCACACTTAGTCAAATGTTTGGCACAACCTCTCGCTACTGCTGGCTGAAGCTTCATTTTCAAGTACTCTTGGTACGTTTTCATATGAAGGCCTCGATGTGAAACACCGATAGTGGCAAAGATGTTTAGTGCTGTCTGACCATCCCCAGTGCTCTGAACCACACGTGCCGTGCGAACGTTGATTTTGAACCGGTTGCAGTTACAGTAAAAGCTCGTTAATTCGACACCAATTAATTCGGAAATTCAGATAATTGGACGGCTCTATTGGTCCCGGCCAAAGTGCATGTTAATCTATGGGACCAAACCGTTATTTCGTCGGAATTCGGCTCCGCACCGCTTAATTCAGACAAGTGCTGACAGCTGCTGCTACACAGAAGTGTGATAAAGCAGCGCTGGCACCACTGGAGTGAAACCGAAACCTGAGTGGCATCGCCATCATCATCAATTAGTGGGGGCGATCGCAGCGTCACCGAACGTCGGCGTCTTCTTTCTTCTCCACTAGGGTGGCTTATTCTCCACTCGGCGCCTCCGACGCCATTTTCCCTTGTGTTGTCATGTCGGAACCATCTCTTCTTGCGGAGTTATCTTTTTCTTCCATTGTGACCGTGTTTGCATGCCACCACCATCGTGCGCTAGAGTGATGGCAACGCCGAAAAAGCAGCAGAGTCCACCGACCGAGTCCACCGACGATGACTGCCCGACTTTCGATGCTGTCCTTCCCACAGATGTGACCTTTCAGGACTACATTGCGATTGATCATGGTGTCGCCACGAGTGGTCTCCTGACCGATCAACAGATTATTAATAATGTCACGGGCGCACATGAAGACCACGATTCAGACGAAGAATCATGCGAGGAGATACAGCCGCGACCTCATCGCACCTCACAGGAGGTCTCGGAGGCGCTTTTAATATTAGAGGACGCTTGCCTCAACACTCCAGACAGCTTGCGTGCTGCTGGCCATTTGGAATTAAGAAAAATTGTGATTTCAGCCGGAATCTGCGCGAAAACGCAGACAACAATTACAAAATACTTCAACAACTAAAGGTATGCTTCTGCAGCTTGATTTTAAATGTTTTCCCGGCTCATTCGTTCATTTGGCATTCGGTTAATTCGGACAGTTTTTCCGGTCCCGTGAAATCCGAATTAACGAGCTTTTACTGTATTGCCACCAACCCGTCGCGAGCTCCATTTCGAACCAGCTTCTCCGCAGCTTCAGAAATTACTGTAGCACGGAACTTCTTTACTGCCGCAGGCAGTTGACAGCGCCATGACAAATGACAAAATGGCGCATGTCCGTGCACGTCACGATGAAAAAGCAGACACCGGAAACGCCACTTGGCCAATCGGATGCCTAGGTTTTGTCACATGCCCCAAGCAGCCAATAGAATCGCGCGCTAGTGCTTCTCGACGCGTTTTTGCTGAAAAACCAATGAGCAAGGCGAGCCAGCGGTGGCGAGAAATTGAAGATGAAAGGCCCTTCCAAACGAGACTAAGATGAACACGATAGCTTGTGTGTAACCGCAACAGTTTGCCACGGAAAAAGCGCGATTTTAGCGTCAATTTGCACTCACATTCATCTCACAGGGATGTTATAAATTGATTTTGCGCCAGAAATAATGACGCAAGAAGCTAGAAACTTCTCAGATAGGTGCAAAACTAGGCAGATTCCGAAATTGTCAGCTTTAAAAAGTCGAATCTTTTTTTGCGATTTTTGGCCTTCTAAGACACATTTCCCCCCTTGAACAACCAAAATGAAAGGCAGTGCATCGCTACATGTCATCAGCAACAGGCAACCTATGGATTCGCCTTTCCTTATTTTTTTGAGTGTCGAACACGCTTGCGTGATGGTTGAGTTGGATTGCTCACATCTCTAGTGTGCTTTCAATTATTTATCTGAACGTGATCAGTGCCATCTGCAGTCTTACTGTTTGCTGTTTTTTGAAAAAATTGCCGGTTTTTATTTCGATTTTATCACCCTGCACGCACGCGTGACCACCGCAGAGACGGCTTCCCCCCTGTTTCCTGCGGCTCCAACCGCCCGAACTCTTGCAGCGAAGAGCGCGAAGTACGGAGCAAAGGATTTGGCTGCGAAGGTGAAAATATTGAAGGTGTTGCAAACGGGAGCATCTCAAAAAGAAGTGATGAAAAGTTCAAAGTGAAGAAAACCAGGCTGAGCACTTACGTGAAGAACGAAAAGCAGATTATGCAAGCATATGACGAGGACATATTTAGCGACCAAAGAGGCTTCGAACGGCAGCGCATCCCAAGCTAGAAGCGCTGTTGCACTGGATTGCCGTTTCGCATGATGCACAGTTGCCCTTGAGCGGCCCCCTTATCTGCGCACAAGCAGAGAAGTTCGCGGTGACCATGAACATTGACTCTTTCAATGCGCGGAAGGCTGGTTCAACTGCTTCAAGAAGCGACACGAGCTGGCGTTCCGCAATGTGCGTGGTCAAAGAGGTGCGGTTGCAGAAGTGTTGTGCAGGACTGGCTGTCTGGACTATCCGCGCCCCTTTTTACGTACGAGCCGCGCAACATTTTCAATGCTAATGAGACAGCACTGTTCTACAAGGCTCTGCCTGACAAGACAATCACGTTTAAGGGGGACCAGTGCATTGGTGGAAAACGAAGTAAAGAACGCCTGACACTTCTGGCTGCTAACATGACCGGCACAGAGCAGCTGCTGCTGATCGGCAAGGCTGCGAAGCCAAGATGTTCTAAGAATATTAAGCAGCTGCCTGTCAACTACCGGTTTAACAGAAAGGCTTGGATGACTGCCGAACTCTTTCAAGCCTGGCTGCTTCAGCTCGACCGCAGCTTTGCGGCCAAAGCTCGGAAGATGTTGTTTGTGCTAGACAACTGTGGTGTGGACACGAAGGTGTCCACACCACAGTAGAGAACATTAGAACATTAAACAGCTATTCCTGCCTCCGAACACAACGGCTTCCCTGCAACCGATGGACAAGGGAATCATACAGTTCGTGAAAAGCCGCTATCGACGGCAGGTACTCGAGCGGATGTTGCTCTGCATGGAGTCAGGCAAGCAGTACGAAGTAAGCCTGCTAAGCGCAATCCACATGCTGACATGCGTAGAAACACACTGCCTGCAGTAGTCGCAAACTGCTTTAGTCACTGATCCAGGGGTACTGGCCGATGAGGAAACCGGCAAGAGCGAGACGGTCACTATGCGAGCATCATGCCAGCTGATGTGCACCTGGGCGATTACTTTGCGACTGACAGTGATGTTGCCATGGCCGGCACAGTGGCCGACAGCGATATTGTCGCCAGTCTTGGACGGTGAAGGGGAATCTGCAGACGAGGATGTAATTGATGCTGACGAGCGTCCATGCCACGCTATGATGGAGGCTGTGCATGCGTTGGCCGTTTTGGAGGAAGTATGCATGCTTTCCTTGGACAGTGTGCGGGGACTAAGCCACCTGCAGAAACTTCGCAAAATTGTGAATTCGTTGCACATTGCATCTGTGAAGCAAACCACGATCACAGACTTTTTTAAGGAATAAAAGTCTGATGATGTAGGAGACATTTTTCAAGTGTTTTGTTCGAAGTCCGAATTAACGGGGTTTTACTGTGCTTCACACAACGGTCGTTGTTTTTAAGAGAGACTATTTGATAGACTAATTTAGTTTGTTATATCCATTTACCAGTCAATTTTACTTCGTTACAACAAGGTTTGAAATGCATGGTTCTCAATGAAAGCTTTCAAGGGGAATTTCATTAATCTCGTTATATCTATTAGTTCATTATATCCCGCTATACCGATGTTTGAGTGTATCTGTGTCAACCATTCGAAGAGCATTAACGCAGGAATGCGAGTCACTCACCGCAGGCACATTTTTGGGAGGGCCTTCCTCAAACACCTGGTTCAAAATGGGCACCAGGAAAGCCGCTGTTTTTCCAGACCCTGCAAATCAAATGATAACAGCAGTCACGAACCCAGTTCGGCGCAAAAAAAAATCGCGACTTTAGCATCAATTTGCGCTCACATTCATGTCACAGGGATGTTATAAATTGATTTTGCACCAGAAATAATGACGCGATATGCTAGAAACTTCTCGAATAGGTGCAAAAGAAGGTACAGATTCCGAAAATGTCAGCTTCAAACAGTCGATTTTTCAGCGATTTTTGGCCTTCTAAGACCCATGTCCCCCTTTAAGGGGGGGGATGCTACACCTTCCAAAAACTCTTATTTCTGCGAGTACCTCAGTCAAATTTAGAGAGCCTATGTAGATTTTACTGCTGATTTCAAAAATCTAATTCTTTTTTTGCTGTGACAATTAGTTTTAAAGATATAATGAACTGCAACTTTTTCAATTAAGGCCTAATTAGCTAATTAACTGTAACTTGGATATTGATGTGCAACCTATAGAACCAATTCGGTATGTTCACAGTGTGCAATAAAGTATGAATCATTGTTCTGGGCTATTTCGAAGCAAAGTTGTGGGATGTTGAATATGACATGAAAAATTTCCCCACCTACACTTGAAACAAAAGATCCATTTAGAGAATTTTCTCCAAAAATTATTACAATAAAACTTACTTTACGACACATCCCCTGCATTTATCTTCGAAACAAAAAAGAAATCGTAATGATAACCCAGATAGAACAAGAGATAATGCTCCGGCATAATGGGAAGCACATGAAAATTGTCGTTTTGAGAAATCGAGAAAAAACGTGGGCACACATTTTTATTGCAGAAGATGCAACAAGACAACCTCAAAACGCACCAGAAGCATAGTCTGAATGCATTCTGTGCTCATGCCTCCTCTTCACTAGCTTCCGGAGTTCCAATGAGGCTGTTCTTTTCTTGTTGGAGACAATGCTGCGACGGTGGTCTTTTTCTCTCGCTCTCCTGGCACCATTACTTGTCGCATTCATGTCCATTTCACCTAAAATTGCCGTTGCAGAATTCAAATTGCCCGTGTTGAAGCGCAGCACTGCTTCTGCAACAGCTGCTTCAACAGCGAACAGGGACGCATGGTGCTCCTTGGGGGCCAAACTCCAGATTACCGAATGTAGGCTCTCGTTGGAGTTCTGCGTTTTGCCGCGTTCACACCTCTGAAGCAGGGCTCTTTCCGAAAGCCGGGTATAAACCGGTAGTAATGCCTCTGCCACGTTTTTCGGTAGATTGTAGGCATGCCTGGGGTCGGGCTCACCCTTTGCTTTTGCGGCATTGTGCCGACACCATGAAGTTTCACCAGCTGGGCACAGACTGTGGTCCGAGCATTCATCAGTGGAGGTGACGTGGCGGTATGTGGCCATCACAGCCTTTTGCATCTCGCCCACGTCACCTTCATGCGATTTCAGAGTCCGGCCATAATATGTGCTCAGCCTGGTGATCAGCTCACCTGTGAGCCTGCCTTTCCCACCAAGGCCTCTTTTCCAATCGCACTTTTGTTTCTGCACCAGGTTTCTCAATGCGGTGCCCATCCGTTTCTGTACATGATTAATACAGTCTTCCTTCTGCACGTCAATGTAACCATACACCTTGGCGTCTTGTATGGCGCAAAATGTCCTAGAGTCTCCATCAGACAGCATAGTTGTGTAGCGCAGGCCATGGCGTTCAAGCGACCTCTGAAATAGAATTAGAGCCGCCTCCACTTCCATTTGCCCCGCTTTGCTGTTCGTATTTTTTTGGCATTTGTGGTTAGCCTTCCATTCTTGATAGCCCTCACTACTAGGCTTTGGGCCCACCTCGCAGCCTAGGCAAAAGTTGGAAAGAACGACGTAGTCCAACACGTAGCCACTAAATAATTCGATAACTGTGCCCACGCCGATGTGGGAAGAATGGCCTCGCGTCTTCCACGTGCCGTCGTAGCTAACGGCAATATTGCCCCGGTGGCCGAAGCACAAGTCATAAATTGTTCTAACCTTTTCCGCACATTCGCTCATAGCGGACTCAGCCGCTCGCGTTGCAGCGGGTGCCAGCGTGTTCTTCAAATGCCGCTGAAACGTCTTGTGGTGCATACCGCGGTGTGAGATGCCCATTGTTGCGAAAATATTGTTCATTTTCGTTTGGCCGTTGCCGGTAGCCACCATCGCCCTCGAAGCGAGAAGATTTACTTCAAACGGATTGCACGTTTTCGTGCCGTTCGCGCGGGGCGAAGTCCATTCATTCGCGATCTCGCCGCACCTTTCACACTGCACTAGCACTTTCACGGCAAGTCCGTAGTCCCGATCCCCTCTGACGATCGTAGCCGGTCCGTGGCAGGCTTTGCAACACAAGGCACCCATTATCGCGTTTACGATATCTAGATGCATAAGCAGATAAGGAGCAGCGTGGTCCGAGTCCTGTGCGGTTGCCTCGCTACAACTCGCGGTGAAAAAGTCAATTTTCCGTGCAGTTGCTGGCGCCGATGAAAGCCGATCGAGCGTCGCTTTCTCCCGGACATGATTTTCTTCAACTTCGGCGTTTGTCACCACCTTGGCGTCGATTCGTAGTCGTCCGGAGTTCGCTTCATCGTCATCGTCGTCGGAGGCAACGCGCTCGGTCGCACCATCGCTGAACGGCCGCGGAGCGTCGACACATCGTTCGTCGGAGTCAACCAAGGGCTCTGATGACTTCGTAGACTTTCTCCCACGACCTTTGCGTTTCCTGCGACCTAATGCGTGCACGGTCCGATACTTTTTTGCGTTTCCAGGCATGGCGATACGATCAGAAGCTTCAGAGTGCTCTGCCGATTTCGAGGCGTCACAGCGGTAACCCTTTCAAAATGGCGTCGGGTCGCGTATGCAGGCGCAAGCCGCGAGCTTCCAGCCAACCGGAAAGCGCCATTTCAGTCACGTGCGTCGTTTAGCCAATGGCAGTGAGCGCGGCTCTTCGTCTTTGAGGCCCCGTTTTTCGAGCCGGGGAAACGCTCAATGTTGCTTACTGAATAAAAAAAAACCGCTGAAAACGCGTTCTTTCAAACAAGACCAAAATGGCGCCGATCGAGCGCGTAGTTCCCGCGTATCGTAGAGCCGAAACCTGCGCTATTCGCCTTCAATTTAAAGGGCAGGACGCCCGTTTTCGGTTTTTTAAAGTTGAATAACGATAAAAGTTGATGGTATTTGGCTATGAAATTTTGTAAATAGGTGCGCAATGATGTCGGGAACGCGAAAAGAAGGTCCGCGAAAACTCGATTTTTTGGCTGATTTTCGGTCCCGAAGTGCCGCGTCCCCCCATTAAGAGAGTCCAATGTGCTTGACTGCAGCATTGTATTGTGTTGTGTGGTTCGTTTTGCTGTTGTGAATCATTGTGGGGTGGTTTGGGAGTTGGTTGCAAGTTCGCAGTTGAAGGCTACAAGCCAGGCCATCGTCCTCGTCACCAGCCATTGTCTATGTGCCCAGCAGTTCGGAGCACTGGCCAGCCGAGATTTTCCGGGTGACGAAGGAGCTGTTACGTTTGGCCCGGCAATTCGTCTGGGCAGGCGCCATTGTGCGTAAGCGAGTCTACTAGGGAGGCTTTCAACCCCATCGGCGCTCAGTCTGCAAGACGCTGTCCTGTAGAGGTTCAAGGAAGCAGTGTGGTCTCAACGAAGGCTTCGCGAAACAAGCCTTTTGTTGAACGGGCTCGAACAGCGGGAGAACGGCGCCATTTTGGCAGGTCTCATTAAGTAAACCTCTTGACTTGCCTTTTGTCATCTACGCGAAGCCATCTCAACGCACCGACAGCCCGGAAGCGTGGGAACGCGTCGAAGAAGCCATTCACCGGGATCGTGCGTTTGGACTGCCTGAAGCTGAAAACAGCATGGACCGCTGCTGACGTTAGTGTTAGCGGCCATCTCCCTGGAGAAGCTCAACACTCACTCTCCGGACTCTACCTTCTCGCCCTGCGGTGCCTTCAAGGCGTGGGCTGGGTGCGTCTTTGTGTGGTGCGTTCCCGTTACCTTTGGACCGTTTAGCCCAGCCGAGTGGTGCAATATCTGCCCCCTTTCTGGTGGGTGGACCACAAAGACTTCGTCCCCTGCTTTGTGGCAAGAGTGATCACTAGCTCCTTCGGACGGCGGGCTATAAAAGCTGAAGCATTTCTTTGTAAATAGTGCTGAATTTTGAGTAGAATCTTGAGCTGAATCTTGTACGAAATCATGAGCTGAACCTTTGTTGTACATAATGCAGGATCTTCTCGATCCCTGTACAGTTCCTATCTTTCTTCAATAATGTAAATAAACCTTCGTTCAGTCTCTTTTAAGGGGGGACATGGGTCTTTAAAATTTTTTTTCTGTTTTTGGCTCAATGTTGACCAAACCTCACCATCTTGGAGAGTTTTTCATGCTGATTTCAAATATGTAATTGTTTCTGAAATAGCTTCAGTGGATAAAAAGATATTAACATCTGTAATTTAATCAACTATGCACTTCATTGGGGGCTTTTTGGCAACTTACCGTATTTACTCGATTCTACCGCGCCCTCGATTGCAACGCGCACCCGATTTCCACCGCGGAAAAAAAAAAAAAACGTAAGACATCGATTGCAACGCGCACCCATTTTTTCTCGCTGGCCCGCATGATCACACCACTCGAAAAACGACTCCTTTCGGGAGCGTCTTCCATTTAAATATGAGGTACGGGCGAAGCTTGTGCCCATCTGACGTGTAACAGAGCATTGCCGTCACTGTAGTTTTACCGTGGACCGATGTCAGCACGCGAACTTGCTTCGCCCCCTTCTTCTCGACGGTTGTGGTGCCAGGCATGTCGAAGTAAAGAGGCGTCTGATCGGCATTCCCGATTTGCCCAAGCAGGTAGTCGTCGTTGCACCGCAAGTTTAGGACGAACCTCTGAAAACTGTGAAGCTTTTCATCGTACACCTCCGCAAAACTTTTCGCATATGCATGTTCCCCTTCGGAGGGAAAAGCCTTTCCTCTTCATAAAGTTAGTTAGCCAGCACCTGCTCGCTTTAAACTGGCTCCGCATTAGACCTTTTTCTAAGACTAATTGCATAGCCCGCACTTGGAGCAGTTCTGCCGTCACGGGCCGCTGTGCTGCTCGCTGCTAAAGCACATACTCGCCGAGCAGCTCTTTAATTTGCGGAAACCGACCCTGCTGTGGTCCAGTAAAGCCTTTGCGTAAAGCTTTGCTGTCGAAAATCTTCTGCTTTTGTTTCTGCCAGTCCCGCACGCACATTTCGGGAACTCCGAACGACCGCGATGCGGCCCGATTTCCGTCCGTTTCTGCACACGCGATGACTTTTCTTTTAAAAGCGGCATCGTGGTGCACTCGAGTTTTTGGAGTCGGCCATTCCACGCCGTCGATGCTAATGCACTACTAGATGACGAACTCCTCAGCACACGTACGAAGTGCCGCACATGAGAAACACATAGGCAGAAATGGACGACGCGCCATGCCGACGCACGTAGGGGGCGGCCATTTTAGATTTGCCGATGGCAATAGATTGACCGCAATTTTTTTGTTCGTACTCGATTCTAACGCGCATGCGATTTATGAACTCGCTTAACCGGAAAAAAGGTGCGCGTTAGATTCGAGTAATTACGGTAATCAAGCCAGATCCAAAAAATAAATGCATAGCTCCAATGCTGAGGGCTTTCTGTATGGGGTGATGCTATTTTTATTAATTTTTAGGCATTATATAGATAAGAAAACAGACCAGCACTTACAATGGATATTCTGTTCAATTTTCGCTCATTACTATCCATAATTGTAATTAACAGTATGCTTCTAGAGTAATCAAAATAGCATCACCCCATAGGTAATGTTATTACAAATAAAATGATACCAAGTTTGTCATTCTCAATCAACAGTAACATATAAGAAAAACCCCTAAGGTTTAGTGTGGTGCACAAAAACATCGAACTGAGAAAAACACATTTAAAGTTTCTAATAACTGTAACTTTTGCTTAAGTGAAGCTAGAGCAATAAAAATGGCACCGTTGTATAGCTATACATTATGTGAGTATGGCTGTACCAAATGTGTCAATGCACCTTCCCAAAATATTTGCCACAGCTCATTTAAAAACTGTGTACTGGCCGTTGAATCAGTATAAGGAACCCAGTCTACAACTTTGTGGCTGTTCTAGTGCACTGAAAACCAAAGGAAGACACATGTTATATATAAAAACATCGCCCTTTTATACATAAAACACTATTTCAAGTAAAACACACATTTTTGTCCCAGACATCCTTACAATTCTACAGCATGCCAGGGCTGTATGCAGTGTCTCTTGCAGGCTTATGTCGCTTTGCAAGTGTTGCCTTTGTTGAACTGCTCTGCAGGTGCTCCCTCCGCGATTTGTGAAGCCGAGTAAAGTGAAGATTTGTGAAGCAGAGTAAAACGTCGTGTCGACACGACCTTGAATGGTTCCAGTAGTGCCGGATGACGATCCGCTGACGTGATGATCCGACGAAGTGCTGCAGCTGGGCCGAATAGAGTGCTCCGCCTCGGCAGGCATTCGCGCCAGCGAATCGTCGTCTGAATGTGCTGCCTCGGCAATAACAGGCACTTGCGCCAGCGAGTCGTCGTCTGAATGTGCTGCCTCCGCAATAACAGGCATTTTCGACAGCCCGTTGTCGTCAGAATGCGCTGCCTCGGCCATCTCCGGCGTTCTCGGCGGCGCGCAGGCCGCTCCCTTCTGCCGCGCATTCCACGCTCGCTTTCGTTTCCTGCCGAAAGCTTGACGAGTGTTCTTCAGGCGAGTTTCCCAAGCCATGCCGGCGAAATGCAGAAAGACGTATACGTCGGCGACGTCGGTACACGAGCGGGTAGCAGACGAGATAACACGCACGAGAGCAGGCGCCGACGGAGCAAAACCAAACAACAACAAAAAAAAGAGCGAGCAACCGTGGCCGCGCCGCCAATGGTAAGCGCGAGACGAGGGGCTCGCCGGCACGCGCGCGCTCTAGCCAATTAGCGGTCCGGCAAACGGCTTCGCAAAACGGGGGAGGGCAGTCGTTGTGTTGGAGCTACGCCATTTTGAGAGCCCGCAAAACGCGCACAAAGGAACCGGCTTCAAAATAAGCCCAAGATGGCGCCGATCCGCCGGCTGCTTTGCTGGCGGCGTGCGCGGGAAGTTCGAACAAATTTTCTGTTTTGCAGGTTGTTTTGCGACTCCCGTGATGGTTTGAAAATAGATTTTAACCTATTTTTTTATCGAATTTAGCGTTAATAATTTGAGGAGAGGTGCTTATAGATTCAAAGATTCGAAAAATGCGTTTTTCTCAAAATCGATTTTTTTCGCAGTTGAAGGCTACAAGCCAGGCCATCGTCCTCGTCACCAGCCATTCTCTATGTGCCCAGCGGTTCGGAGCGCTGGCCAGCCGAGATTTTCCGGGTGACGAAGGAGCTGTTACGTTTGGCCCGGCAATTCGTCTGGGCAGGCGCCATTGTGCATAAGCGAGTCTACTAGGGAGGCTTTCAACCCCATCGGCGCCCAGTCTGCAAGACGCTGTCCTGTAGAGGTTCAAGGAAGCAGTGTGGTCTCAACGAAGGCTTCGCGAAACAAGCCTTTTGTTGAACGGGTTCGAACAGCGGGGGAACGGCGCCATTTTGGCAGGTCTCATTAAGTCAACCTCTTGACTTGCCTTTTGTCATCTACGCGAGGCCATCTCAACGCACCGACAGCCCAGAAGCGTGGGAACGCGTCGAAGAAGCCGTTCACCGGGATCGAGCGTTTGGACGGCCTGAAGCTGAAAACAGCATGGACCGCTGCTGACGTTAGTGTTAGCGGCCATCTCCCTGGAGAAGCTCAACATTCACTCTCCGGACTCTACCTCCTCGCCCTGCGGTGCCTTGAAGGCGTGGACCGGGTGCGTCTTTGTGTGGTGCATTCCTGTTACCTTTGGACCATTTTGCTCGGCCGAGTGGTGCAATATCTGCCCCCTTTCTGGTGGGTGGACCACAAAGACTTCGTCCCCTGCTTTGTGGCAAGAGTGATCACTAGCTCCTTCGGACGGCGGGCTATAAAAGCCGAAGCATTTCTTTGTAAATAGTGCTGAATTTTGAGTAGAATCTTGAGCTGAATCTTGTACGAAATGATGAGCTGAACCTCTGTTGTACATAATGCGGGATCTTCTCGATCCCTGTACAGTTCCTATCTTTCTTCAATAATGTAAATAAACCTTCGTTCAGTCTCTTTTAACGCATCTCCTCACTGGCGAAAATCAGCTATGCGGACGACGGCGGGAAGCCAGCTACCTTAAAAAGAGAGCCCGCCGTTCCTGCCATCAACTTCCTACCTTTGACAATGCCGTATAAAGACACAAAAATGGTAACAGGCTGAAAGATAAAAACAAGACTGGTTCATGTATAATGGTCCAACTTGTTTATCACGTGCAATAAAGGTTTAAAACCAATAAGGAAAACTTGGGGAAACTATGAGGTTGGTTTGTGAATAAGACCTTAATGGTATATGGTGTTTCAGAATGTGAGGGCCAGTTATGGCCAAAACTGGAAAGCTTTATCTAGCGATACTTACCCACACAAAGGCATCAACACAGTGCATTATCAGCATGTATACCATTTAATTTACCTGGAAGCACCCATGCCAGTAAAACAAATTATTCTCCAAATGCACATTTCTTTGATTGCAGCTGGTTTGTTCTGGTACTCTTGGCCGTGACAGGTCCTTATGAGCCCAAGCACCAGATAAGAGGCGTCCTATCACTCAAGATACGAAAGAGTGGGTGTGTAACGGTACGTACCTGTCTGGGCGCAGGCCATCAAGTCGCGCTTGGAGAGAATGATGGGAATGGCATGCTTCTGCACGGGCGTGGGCGAGGTGTAGTGTGCCAACTCAATGTTCATGCGAATGATCTCCGTCAGGGAGCAGTCGTCGAACGAGTTGATGTGCTTTGGTGCATCATCACCGGTGGCCTCCACAGGAATGTCCTCATACTTCTCAAAGTTTATGCCTGTGTGTCCTTGAGAGAACAGCTCTCTGCACAACAGCGTGAGGGCAGAATAGGTTGACAACGGCACACACATACACACAAGCTGTGACTAAACCACACAATAAGCCAAGGACCACAACTGACGCACCTTGGCAAATAAGGTCAAGTTAGAACACATACAGTAATGTGCCGTTAAAGGGGCCCTGAAACACTTTCTTGAGTAACCATGGAATTAATTTGCTGGAAAAGTGTATTACCTCACAAATCGAATGCCTCAAAAATTTTAAGAATCTGTTTAGTACGAACAGTTACAGAGATTTGTCACACGCTGCAATCACGCTCTTTTTTTTCTCATCCTGACGAAAGCGCTGGAAGCTGAGCAGAAAGAAATGGGCGGGGCAAACAAAAACAATCCTCACGCCTCGTGATCTTGAGTATTTCATCTTTCTTTTTTCTTCGAATATGCAACTTCTTCAGTGGGATCGCGCGCCCACGCATGAACAAGTGACGGCTTCTTGCGGCGACCTCCGTGACAATTGAGCGCGCCATGTTCAAATCAGCCAATGGCTGATAAATAGGCCTACCGGGCTTAATTCCGTGATTTGTCGAGAGAAGAGAAAGGTATTTTTAGCTGACTACCGTATAATGCGGAATATAGGTCGAGGCGGAATATAGGTCGACCCCCTTACCTTGACCAGCAAAAAAAAAAAAGAAAAACGCGGAATCGTTCACTGCTTCACTTTAGTCAGTCCTCACAGTCCTCCGAGCTGTCGGAGCTCTCCGACGACGACGACTGCTTGTCACTAGCCGCCTCCCACAGCATGTCGTCCTCGGTGCCGTCGAGAGCGTTGCTGATGCAGCACTTCTTGAATGCGCGCACCACCATCTCTTCAGGCAGAGACCTCCATGCCTCGGAGACCCAACCACAAACTGTCGCGAGAGGTGGCCTGCGCAGCCGGCCTGTCGGGGTCCGCGGGTTGTCGCCAGCCATCCATTCGGTGTACAGCGCACGCACACGGTCTTTAAAAGGTTTATTGAGGACGACGTCCAACGGTTGAAGTGTTGATGTCATTCCTCCCGGAATGACGACAAGATCCGTCCTTCCGTCGCGAAGGCTCTCCTTCACCGATGCTGTCAAATGCCCGCGAAATGCATCCAACACGAGCATGTTCCGGCGCTGCAGGAGGGCTCCGGGCCGCCGGTTCCACACTGTGCGGATCCATTCGCGCATTAGGGCCTCGTCCATATACCCCTTCTCGTTGACGCGGACGACGACATCCCGCGGGAAGGCCTCCTTCGGCATCGTCTTCCGCTTGAAGATTATGAAGGGGGGCAACTTTCTGCCGTCGGCCGTGCAGCAAAGCATAACGGTGAAGCGCGAATGCTCGCTACCGGTCGACAAAAGCCTCACCTCTTTTGCCCCGCGTTCACAAACAGTCGTGGACGACGGCATGTCAAACCACACCGGCGTTTCGTCGGCGTTGCCGATCTGGCCTAGCATGTAGCCATGCTGCCGCCGGAGGTTGTTCACATAGAGTTGAAACTCTATCAATTTGTCCTCGTACATCTCCGGCAGCTTCTGGCATATCGACGTGCGCCGTCGAAGCGCAAATCCTTTGCGTCGCATAAAGCGACGGACCCAATAAATGGATCCCTTGAAGTCTTTCTTTGACAGGCCGGCTTCACGGGCGAGCTCGACGGCTTTTGAGCGAATGAGCTCCGCATTCACGGGAAGGGATTTGGCACGGTACTCGCGGACGAAATCCGCCACTTTGTCCTCGAGTTCCGGGTGCACAGCTCGGCGACCGCGAAACGACGTCTTCCTCGCGTTACACACTGACAGTTTGGATTTTTGGTTGCGCCAGTATCTGACGCTTTTCTCGGACACTCCAAACTGCCGCTGTGCCGCCATGTTGCCATTCACTTCCGCGAATTCTATAACTTTTCTTTTAAACGCGGCGGTGAACTGGCGCCGCGTCCCGGTATTCATAGCTGGTCGCAGAGTAAAAGTCGCCACTCTCTACGAACACGAAATGAACAAGAAAAGAAAAATGGCGTCGGCAGAGGCGTCGGCCCATGGAGGCGATGTCGATGCTGATGCCCAAAAAACATGCGACACTCCCTGTTGCCAGACGATCACTTTGTTTATGCCAAGGGCCGGTATATAGGTCGAGGGGTGACTTTTTAGCGAAATTTTTTGGAAAAAATCTCGACCTATATTCCGCACTATACGGTAATAATTTATTGTGGATTCCAGGCCACATGCGTTTTTTGAAACAAACCAGTATCTTCATTAAGGGAGAGGCTACACTTGACTTTTTTTAATTATGGATACAGCTGAATGAAACTTTCAGTTTGTGTATTTAAATGTGCAGATTCTAAAAAATGTAGTTACTTTTGTGATAGGTGAAGTTTTTTGCAACCACAATCAGTATAAACAGGGTCATTTGTTTGTAGCCTAATTAGCATCTTAGCAGGAAGCACCAAAACAGCGGCGACAGTGTACAAACAACGTAGGATGTTTGACGAGTGCAATATGCTATATATCGATTTGCTGGGCCCACTTCAACACAGAGAAATCAGTGTTCAAAATAAATATGTAAATAAAATAATGCTGCCTTCAGATGTGATACATGTGCCCCAATTAAAAACTTTTTGACGTATATATATATATATTGCCTTCAAAATAGGTATATTGCTTACTGAATGCATTTATATTTAAAAAAAAAAAATACTGCTGATAGCTCGAATAGAACAGAAGCTATGTTGCCTTCAAGCCCTCAGGAATGTGCTGCTAGATATGTTGATGTCAAGCTGCTTTAGAATTGCAGCATCCATGCCGCGCACGCACGAGGAATGGTCTTCGGTCACGACGTCATTATCCAACAACGTTGGTGCTTGCTCTTGCGGCACAGTGGCAGCACCATTGGGCTTTCTGCTTCTGCCTTTCTTCCGTGAATGACCAAAAAGACGCTGCGAACACAACTTTTTTGCACCGCCAGGCATAGCGAATTGCACAAGCACGTTATAGATGCGACACCTTCGCAAGGGCGATACCTTTTCAAAATGGCGGCAGACAATGACAGCAAAATTTCTCGACCAAGTGGGAAGCGCCATTTTGGCCATGTGCATCAAGCAACCAATGAAATCACGCGCTGCGCGTGACTTTGTCTTTGCTTTTTTGTTGAAGCGAAGGGCACATAGTTGTCTAATTGAAAAGAAAAAGAAACTGGAAATGCAACCTTTCAAACAAAACCGAAATGGGGCAGCTGATGTGCGTATAGTTCAGACAGTTTGAAGGCCGGCTTTTGCGTACCTGCTCTTTCTATCACTTACAACATGAGAAATATGTGAAATATCGAAGCCGAAATTTGTGATAGGTGCGGAAGGGCACCAGGAATGCAAAAATGAGAGAAAAAATGCAATTCTTCGACAGATTTTCGACTTGCAAGTGCCATACCCCCCCCCCGTATAGCCGCCATAAATCTGAAATTTTTGCACTTGTCCTTTGCGTAATTCATGCAATAAAGGGTTAATGATTCAAGGATGAAAGGGCAAAAAGGTCTTTATATGAGAAGCTATATAAGATGCAGCACTTTCAGATGCAGCATCTATTGCGTGAGGCTATCTATGTTCCCTTCTAGCCCCAAACCATTCATAGCATGAAAAGCCAAAACAACAATTGGCACTTTGCTACGGAAGCAAGCCTTGCATGATTCTCTGTTGCGCACACATTAAATCCCCTGTCCCACAATGAAACTGACATGCATAATTGCTGAAGGATAGTTCATGGTAAGCTCCTCCTCAAATGATGACAGCTAGTTTCGAACTTTTTCTTGAATAAAGTACCACTTCCTTATTTGTCTGCTTCTAATAAAATTATTTTGCGACAAAATATTCTTCCATTGTGTTACAAAAAAGTAAATACAGCTACGGGAGAGTGAAACTACGGCGCGCTGCAATATTATCATTATTACTGGGCTACAGATAATAACTTGCTGTTAGCAGTGGAAAAAAAAAAAAAGAAAAAAAAATCTTTGCAAGTAGCTACAACCTTTTGTATGCAACACGTACAAAAACCATGGAGGCAAAACCATACTTAAGCGTCAACACACGTACCGCTCTATCCGTTCGTCCCTAGGAAGCGGTCTGGTCCAGTCCTCGTCAGTGTCGAGGTTGCGCCGCCCCCCATTGCGGCGGTCCCAGTTGCCGCCACGGTCGTCCCGACCCCAGCCGCCACCATCACGGGAGCCCTCACGGGGCGCTTCGCGAGGCATCTCGTCCGGGCTGCGCCAGTTCGAGCCTCCACCCCTACAAACGAGTCATACATTTATTTAACAGCTATATTGTATTGCATAACATCCCTTCAAACAGAAAAGCACAGCTGAGATCTATACCCAATCTCTATACCATGACAACACATTAGTTACAACGCTGCGACAGCCAAATCCAGACCAACAGCAGCTGCTTCCTCAAGACAGTTGCTAGTTGAGACAATTGAACTCGTGCCACAGCTATAGTGGTTAACAAACATACAAAATCTAGTTATGACAAAATTGTACAAGTAGGAAAACGTGGCAAGAACATCTGCATTTTGTTCCAATCTCATAAGCCATTTACAGATATCACAGCTATCTGCGATGGGATTCAGATAGTCAGCAAACTGTTTGGGTGACAATGCAGGAGACTGAGTACTCACTGGCGCGGTGCGAAAGCATTGTTGCGCACGGGGCCATCATTTCTCTTGTTGCGGCCTCCAAAATTTGAAAAATCGGCACGGCCACCTCCACGGTCACCTGTGCATATAGCCAAAGACAACTATGCATGTTACCTTCCATGCCAGCAATGACTCTCATAGCAGCAAAATGACAGCATCAAACACAGCACGTGACAGCAGCAGTTAGTGGGATGTGAGTGCGAGTGGCACTGGCTAGTACTCTCAATGCGAATGTTGTACACATACAACGGATCATTATTTATTCGACTTTGGGGAGGGCCACACAAATCATTCAGATTACCTACAGAAGTACTACACTGGCTTTCAAAAACTGCAGCATGTCTAATGTGCTTCATGGTACATACCGTACGACAGTGATACATTTTTATTAACAAAGTAACAATAAGGCAAGCAGCAATAAAGATGTATGAGCTCAGCAAGTTCATATTCAATAAAGGCTGTTCGCGTTTTGTGAATGTCAGATTTATTTTTTGTTCAGCCTACATTTGAAGCGATTTATAAACTTCTCCGGCTTTGGACTTGAAGGGGTTGTCTCAAGATCAGAACCAGCCTAGATTCAAGTATATATTGCAATGCCCACTACGCCTTCCTTGGCATCATGACTCGCTGCTCTAACATGGTTGTTACTGAAAAAGCACCTACTCCTCAGTTCCCCATTCAAACTGAAAGTAGGGATGTGTGAACAGCAATACCATGGGTGTGAAATGAATTCGAATACTGTTAAAGCTGGATATAGCGAAACAAAAATTCTCTGGAAAATTCACTATAAATAGGATTTTGTTATATGCAGGTTCAGAATGGAAATTCAAAAAATAAACAGAAGGAGAACTGCAAACAGAGCCAATCCAAAACACACTCGACAGACTTTTTTTTCCCGTTGGCCACCATGCTCCATAGAGATGGGGAATAATGATTCTACCACGCGAGGTGCTGCCATTGGCCCATCTAGAGGTAATAGAGATGGTCCGATGACATCCCTCCATGCTATGATTGATTAATATGTGGGGTTTAACGTCCCAAAACCACCATATGATTACGAGAAACGCCGTAGCACAGGGCTCCGGAAATTTCAACCACCTAGGGTTCTTTAACGTGCACCCACATCTGAGCACACGGGCCTAAAACATTTCCGCCTCCATCAGAAATGCAGCCGCTGCAGCCGGGATTCGATCCCGCATCCTGCGGGTCAGCAGGTGAGTACCTTAGCCACTAGACCACCACGGCGGGGCCATCCGTCCATGCTAGAATAGATATGTCGACACACCCGTGAGTTATAGCTGCCGTCGAATGCTCAAACAGAAAGCAAAGAAAAACGCGAAAAGGGGAGGGTGGTCGCTCAAGTAGCAACGGTGAACTATAATTTTAAGGGTGCGGTCACGATCACTGGCGCACGTGTTAGCTCGGCAATCATCAGTGCACTTTCAATGCAAAGAGACTCAAAAGATCACTTCTTGAAATGGCCGTGTTTGCTAACACCAGTGTTTTGTAGGAGTTTCATTATATCGAATCCAAAAGAGTTGACTACCAGCTTACTTCATATAACATTACAATTTGTTGCTCTCTCATTGCATTGCATTCAACACGCCATCGTGTTGTTGCCAGAGCTGCGAAGGCTACGGTCCCTCAAACTCACGGCACCAACAGAAACGCACGATGAGTTGACCTCCAAATATCCACCGTCGTCACTGTGTTCTCGAAGGGTTTTTACCAGTGCCTAATCTGACGTCCCCTTGGTATAGTGACGACAGGGTCGTTCACATTGGTGGGGGGGAGTTGAACGTCGTTGGGGGCCGCATCATGCGCGGCCAATGAAACCACGCAAGTGCGCATGGCGTCGGAAACAAAGAGTAAACAATACGGATACCGCACAAAACTATTTCGTAAAGCGCCCTCCATATCCAGGGCGGCACTGCGACCGCAAAAGTTTCTTTTTCTCATTAAAAAGAGCACCAATAATGAGGGACAAGAAAGGAAGGAGACAGACAGCGGCACCGAGACAGACAGTGTCACTGTCAGTCCCCTTTTCTTGTCCCTCGTTGCCGCTGCGCATGTGCCCGCGGAAGCAACAGCAGCAAGACCGACTCGTGAGGCGCACCGCTTCGTGCACACCCGTGCACAATAACGACCGCTTGCTCGCGCCTCAGAGTCGCCAGAGTCACAAGCACACTGCCGCCGCCTCAGACTTCGGCGAGATAACCACAAAGGATGCATGCTCATGCCAAAATGACAAAATCCGGGGCAAAATCCCCAGTGTTTGTGACGAAAGTTCATTATACCTAGGTCGAGAGCAAATTGAATCAACCTTTTTTTTTATTACTTCGAAGTGAAATTCCAGAAAAAAGTCTCGGAGGATTCCAGAGCCTTTGAAACCTTTGAAACAGCAACATGAAAGTGTTTCTTTTGGCTAAGTTGAAGGGATAGAGGGGTAGTGTTTCATAGTTGCCTTACGAAGAATGAGGCAAACAGTGGTTTCGACATTTCACATGTGAAAAGCAAAGATGCTACTTCCTCTGCTTTTCATCCTGTTCGAACTTCTGTAGAATAACAGCGTGCACTGACATTGCGCAGTATGATGGTCTCTACCATTTCGCCTCCATTGAAATGCGACTGCCATGGCCGGGATCAAACCAGCGACCTTCTGGTAAAGCAGCTGAGTACCGTAACCTTTACACCACCATGGCGGACTTCTGTAGAAGCCCAACTGATGTGGCGGACAAATATATAGCAAAACGTTTATTTAAAAAAACTTAAAGGTACGGAGAGTGTGTGGGTGGGGTTGGTTCGTATTCCAGAGCCCCACTGGGTTTAGAGGCTTGTTGGCCCTGGTCGAGGAGCACCAGTTGCACCCCCCCCCCTCCTCGCTGGCAAGCAAAGTCTCCCAGTGCTCCTTTACAGAAATTTTGCCAGCTATTTGCCAAGAGTTAATTTAGGTTGCCTTCTTCTGACAATCCCCCGTTATGTGGGCAAGAGTGGGCCTGCCACAGCACTACGGACAACTATCGCTGTACATCGCAGGGTGAATGGCATGCTTTTGTTTGTTTGTTTACGGCACCAGTCATAAGAGTTCCGCCTTGTTAGAGCTGTGTGTGGTACAGTCGAAACCCGCGATAACGAAATCCCAAGGGAACAAAATATTTTCGGAGCACTGGCGAACGCCCATGGAGTCAATGCATTTCATAACTCGCGACTACAAAAAATATTCATACCGCAGTCCCTCATTAACGAAATTTTTGAAATGAGCGTGCAAATAGTCTACTCTCACATTTACATTCGAAAACTGCTGAAATGCATTTATGCTACACTTAAATTGTGCAAAACTATCGCTAAGCGCACTTGAGAAGCAGCTGCCATCAATGCTAAAAAAAAAAAACGTAACGCTAGCGACGATTATGATGGCTCGCCGAAACACCTGCTCGTTATCACGGACTATGTACATAGCCAAAGCCTCAATCCTCATGGAGTGTCGTTCACTGGCTTGGCTCTGTGCTTGGCTTTGCCGGCTTTGCGCACACATGGTCGCGTGTGTGGAGCCCATTTGTGGAGAGTTTGCGTGGTCTCTCATAATCATCGTCATTGTCACCCTATTTCATGGCCCCGCCGTGGTGGTCTAGTGGCTAAGGTACACTGCTGCTGACCCGCGGGTCGCGGGTTCGAATCCCGGCTGCATTTCCGATGGAGGCGGAAATGTAGGCCCGTGTGCTCAGATTTGCGTGCACGTTAAAGAACCCCAGGTGGTCGAAATTTCCGGAGCCCTCTACTACGGCGTCTCTCATAATCATATGGTGGTTTTGGGATGTTAAACCCCACATATCAATCATCATAAGGCTGCAATCATCAGCGAGGTAGGAAAAGGCCGGAAAAAAAAAAAAAAGAACATAGCCGAAAAATTCCGCGTTGCTTGCAGATCGTTGTTCATAATTCTCAAAAACAAGGCTTCCATTCTTGGTGCACTTGAAAGCGGCAGGAGTGCAAGAAACAAAACCGTGACGGCTGCCCCGTTCCCGGACGTGGACACGGCGGTGTTCGCGTGGTTTTGTGAACAACGTGCCAACAAAGTGCCTTTATCTGGCAGGATCCTGCAACAGAAGGCGCTGGACTTCGCTTGTATGCTCAGCCACGACAACTTTAAGGCAAGCCCAGGCTGGCTTAGCCATTTCAAAGCTCGCCCAAAGTCATCTCCAGAAAGGCAGCAGCAGTCGACTCGGTGACGTCGTCGTGGATGCTGAGCAATAAAGAACTGCTCGGCCAGTACAAGCTGTCGGACATATAATGCCGATGAAACGGCATTGTTTTATGAAATGCTGCCATCCAAGAACTTGGACATTAAAAGCCAGAAGTGCCACGGTGGCAAGCACAGCAAGTGGCGCGTGACGATTTTATTGTGCGCCAACATGAATGGCATAGATAAACGGCCACTACTCGTTATTGGCAGGAGCAAGAAGCCTCGCTGTTTTAAGGGGAATTTCAGGCTGCCATAAGCTACACCGCGAAAGTGAAGTCGGGGATGACGCGGGCCAGTTTTAGCAGGTGGCTCCAGTCCTTCGATGCCGATATGCGGAAGGCAAACAGGTCGGTCTGCCTTCTTCAAGACAACTGTAGCGCCCATCACGTCGACGTGCAGCTCGGAAACGTGCACCTGGTGTTTTTTCCACCAAACCACTTTGGTGCTGCAGCATCTCGATCCGGGAGTTATTCGCAGCGTGATGTGCGCTTACAGAAAGGGGTGATTCAGTGTTTGCTTCTGAATATACACATGAAGCACCCCGCTGACGTGGACTTGTTCATGGCGCTAGAGATGACCGCCGCCGCATGGATTGCGAGGAGTCCATGCCGCGACAATGAATTGCTTCACACACGCCGGCCTCGTCACTCCGCAGGCATCATGCACTGATCCAGCGGAGCCGAAAGAAGGTTGCCTGTAGGCGCACTTGATGGCAGTACTGGTAACAGCGCAGTATGTCCGTCACTGACCAGTGCATGGGGCGAACTTTGTTCCGTGGCAAACGTGATTCCCGATGGTATCAGCGTACATGAGTTCGTTTGCGCGGACGAAGAAATCGTCCTGCACGAGAAGCGACTGATGAAGCCATCGTCAGTAACGTGCGCGAGGCGGCCAATCCCAATGAGCAATGACCGGAGCAGCCAGAGAAAACAAGTCCGCAGGACATGCTGGATGCCTTTGACACAACTGGCACCTTTTTCGGCGAGCACGACGACGTGGTGATGGATTACTTCTTACAGTGTGAGTCGAGAGGAATGGAATTGCTGCATAGTAAGGCCGGCCAAAATAAACTCACCGACTTTTGTAAATAAATTTTTTTTTTGCAAATTCCATGTCTTTTCTGCCGCATTCTCGCGCCAACGAAATTTCCACAAAAGCGAAATTTTGTGCTTTCGCCGCCAATTTCGTTATTGCGGGTTTCAACTGTACACTGTACTTTCATCAAGCCGTTGGTTCTCAAGGATATTTCGCGGTAAGAAAGGGGTGTCGTCAAAGTGGTCAGCCGCTCGGTTGGTAAAAGCACGATCTCAGTCGTCCGCTCTCTCATTGCCATGGAGTCCTGTGTGAGCCGGGCACCAGATGATAGCATGGTCTTGTGTTACGTCCGGTCCTAATAGGCGAATGGTGTTGTGTGGTAGTTTTCCCGTGAAAAACACGATCGTCCCAGAATATCTTTAGGTTTAATGGTAAGCGCGATGGCTAAAGCCTCAGCGTTATTCGCGGACGCGGCTTGAGCCGTGGCGCAAGTCGGGAGGCCTTGACCCGGGGCCACTCCTACAACTGCGAGCGCGTACTTGTTCGTGCCGGATCGGGCGACATCTGTGTACACTGTGTCCGGATTGTTTCCGAATTGCCGTTCTAACTTGCGAGCTCATGCACTCCTACGACCTTTGTGATATTGTGGGCTCATGTTTTTTGGGATAGGAAATACTAGAATCGTTTCACGTAGCTGTATTGCCATAGACTCCAGTTCCTCTCCCGCATACTGAGGATGAGCTGGGTAACCTATACGGCATAGCAATTTTCTCCCAGGAGTGGTTAAGGAGGTAAGCCTTTCCTGTTGAGAAATGAGCACCGCTGCGCGTAACTGCTCATAATGATTGTGTATATCGAAGGCTTCGAGACATTCTGTGGACGTTCCAAGTGTTAGGCCTAGAGCCGCCTTGTCTGATGTTCGGATCAACACATCTAGGGCCTTTAGATCGGTTTTATTCATAACCTGGAAAAAAAGACTATATGTTAGCCGACTGAAGACAAAAGCCTGAACCAGCCGGAGCGTCTCTGCTTCCTTGAAACCTTTTCGGTGATAGGTGACTCTATAAATCATACAGGAGATCTGCTTCACCGTTGTTCTGAGAGTTACGATTGTGTGGTCTACTCGCTTGTTGCTTTGTAGCCACAGTCCGAGGACTCGCATTTTCTGGACCCCACGGAGGACAAAGGCGTGCTCTCTTCAAGTCCGGTCTTCCTAATCTGCCTCATAGACATCACTACATAAGAACATCTGAAATTTTGGATGCTAAATATTTTCAGCGAACGATTATTCGGACTATCTGCCCGAATTTCAGGCCTGCAACGTCATTTTGAGCCCTTACATTTGAAAGAATGCTTTGCTACAAGAAATGCAGCAAAGCATATTAAAAATTTGAAGGGGCTACGGCCAATGAAACATTGACTGTATTTGTTTTTGGGAAGTTCGAATACTTAGAATAATATTCTAGTGCGAGTGGAATAGCAAACACTACCAAAAATTATCCGAAAGTTCAAATATTTTCATACGATTAATTGAAAGAAATAAAAATGCAGCTGATAAATCATCATACTCATTATACAAAGCAATTGTGTACAAACCATACCTTCACAAACGATTGTTTTTACAACAATGAAATATTGCACAATCTTCCTTCTATAAGATCAAATTTTATATCACTTATAGAGCTAAAAAAAATTAAGTTTGACACAAAGAGTCGTAACAGATGCGTGGGAAGAAAAACCGAGGTCAAAGACGATTTCACAAAACAATTGTAGATTCCTAAATGGAACTAAGCAAAGCCTGCCTGCACTGATTATGCATTACACCGTCACCTCTTCTCATGCTTTCATATTTACAGTGCGAGACGACACTACGGGGAAGGCGCACGAGACAGACTGAGCGTTCATTTCATGGTGTCACCTATGATCCAGTTCACAGATAAATGCAAGCAAACAACGGCTAGCCTGAACTGGATGTTAGGAACATGACATTGGCATGACAGAGCTTGTGAGTCGCATTCACTTCTGAGCTGTGTGCACCTAATGAAGTTCAGTGCATACCGCAGAAGCCGACCAGGAATAAAGAGGAAACGCACCCCTGAAGCCGTCCCTTGCTCCCCAGTCGTCGCCTCCCTGTGGCTCAGGGAAAGATTTCTGGCCGTAACCCTGGGCGTTCCCCTGAGGAGGTCCAGGCAACACAGACCGATTGTTGCGCAGGTGCGGGGGCACGTAGCGACTCGGACCTGCGAGAGAATCGAGCACACTCATCAAGCTGTTTAAATGTGCCCAGAACTCGGCACATTTAAATGTGCAAGATTGCCGACATGTGGCGACTTCAGGTTAACATCATTTATCAAGAACCAAAACTTGAAGGTGGGCCCGCAGCCACGGTCTGTCGCAGATTTATTTTATGCAAAAACTTACTTTTTTAAATTTAGACACCAAACATAAGGTCCTTTGCTTACAAATACATGTAACCCAACTGTAATCAGTTTCCAAAAGCTGCGCAACAGAGGTGTTAGAACTGGCTGTGTGACAAGTTTGTTGTGCGTAGTCCATATTCACCCCTCAATATCTATTGAATACGAGTCAAGTTAATTGATAGATGTCTTAGCTTAATAAAACCCTTTTGCAACTAGTCTTATTCATGGAAAAGCTCATCTGAGCAGCCGTGTGCGAATTTCATCCCAGCTTTCTCTACACCAATCTACACAAGCCTCAAAGATTAAAGTACTATCAATTCCATGACAGTAATGATCATTAGGAAACTCAGATTAGGTCACGAGGCTTCTTTTTACCTTATTCCGTAATATAGCAAGAAATTTCATGGCCTCAACTACGCGCTCAAGAGCAGCCAGTGTTAACATTGATGTGTACTGCACTTTAATAGAAAACAATATGAATGTCTACTTGCAGTGGTGTATTTGTCCATGCTCTTTCCCTACTTACTGCCAGAGTTTGCAACGAGTCGAGGCAAACCTTGCACAACAACAAGCAGTTGTATGTAAAGGCTGCACATCTTGGCTTTTTCACACCTGAAGGAGCCTGTCAGGCTTTGAAGACAAATTTTGGTTGGAGCTTTCTCCAGTTTTCTATCCCAACCAGGGAGGCTTCTGCCGAATGTTCTCCTATGACCCTTTTACAATGTCACCCTAGGGTATATATGGTATACTGAAATGTGTTTCTGCCTATGACCTCTTACAATGAAATGTTAAGTGGGCTTGTCGTGCTGGGTCAATACACAGGAGGAGTTTGCATGCACACGATTTCCTCCATCCACGGCTTCTGGAATAACATTTGGACCTTGCGAATGCTACCCTCAAGCAAGAGAACAGAAAAATTGGCTCACCGGTCTTGTTTCCTTGAGCACCGGAGTTCAAGTCTAGACCAGCAAACTATTGGAAGAAAGAAAAAAAAAAAACGCCAGAATGCCACAACTTCCTGCATGCAAAACAGAAATGAAAAACCACCATACTTTTTTTTTCTAGCTTTAACATTACCGCACCTTGAAACGCACCAAATTATTAAAAACGGTACATGAAAACGTAAGCGCTTTCGGAGACAGGAATTCCAAACGCTTATATGGGAAATCACGAGACAGCACTTCTCGCGTCAGATACTGTTGCTCTCCGAAACAACATTGAACTTCGTGTCCCTCAATAACGCTGAAAATATGTCAGGTGCACTACAACACACACACACAAAATAATGGCAATAAAACACAAAAACAAAAACTAAAGCGAAACCAAATAAAATGTCCATGCAAATTTTACAAGCAGCTTAATGGCAAGTGTTTAAAACCACCTGCCATCGCTGCCGCCTCAGCCAATAGTTGAACAAGTTTGTTTTTTTCTTTGTGAAGAGAGGAACCAAGAGCAAACTAATCAAAGACATCGGTAGCAACGGCTCGGGCAGAAAGCGCCTCGCGAGCTGCCACGGCGATGCAGTCGCTACACGCTAGCCAAAACTACGCGAAAACTTAGGTAATACAAATAAGAGGCAAGCAAACTGCAGGTATTCGGCGGCGTGGCAACTAGTACTGAGCTGAAGCGAGTTTAATTAAAACTCAAGCCTGCTTAAACTCGCCTCCCAATTCACAGGGTTACGCCAAGCTTGAACCTAACAGTAGTTGAGGGACCGCAAGCCCATGGTGCGACATACGGGGACCTCGAATGCTGCGCAAAAATCTGGCGACACGATTAATCGAACGCGGCCCAACGCACTCCCGACTAAGTTGATCGGGCGAATAAGCAGGGGTTAGCAGTGACAGACCACTAGCGAGTTAACAAGGCATTGAATGAAAAGCGGAGCTCGCTAAGCCTGAAACCGGCAAGGTGCCGGTGCTGGACGAACGAATGAGTCACGAAGGGACCCTCCCGGAAGAGGTGCACTTGCCGTGTCAGCGTTACCGATCGCAGGGCAGCCACAGGAGAGGTTTCGGACCACCAGTCGAGCGAGGCGGGCTCACCGTCCCGTCAATCGGCGAATTTTTTTTTTCTTCCCCCTCTTGGGCGAAGCGAGCGAACAAAGGTGAATCGAGGGCACGGGTTCGCGTCGGGCTTGTCGCTAAGACTAGTTTGCTGTCGTCCTCACAAAAGAGCTTACGCTCTGATCACACACAGTGGGTGTCACTCGTGAAAGAGAAAGGTTATTACATTGTTGCAGAGGACCCAACACGATGCAAAATCCAGAGGCACGGAAGGATTCCACAACGGTAAACTTTTATCCCAATGCGCCATCTTCTTGACAGACACACGGTGTTAACGAGAAGCTAGCCCTAACTTGGGAATCCTGCAGTTTGTTTTATGCCGAAATAATAAAAAAAAACTGCTCGGTACAAAAGGCCAAATTGGCTGAAATTTACCTGCTGCTCTAGACCCTTCCCATTTTGGTTGGATTCATTAATCATATTACACAAAACAAATGGATAGTTCACGAATAATACGTGCGACTCAACCACAGGAATAATCAGTTCCTCTTGCAACAAAGCAGAGGCCGCAGTGACGTCATGTCCTTCTCTCGCAGTTGTCTTGGCCATATCATAGCCTCCTCTATATAGGAGGCTATGATATATATAGGAGGCTATGGCCATATCCGTCTTGGAAAAGTACCGGACAAGTGTGGCGCTAGTTACCGAAAAATTAAAGGTTTAAAGTGTTCATTATACTATAATAACCAAAACTTCAAGTTTTATAAAAAAAGACTAACATAATGTGACGTCATATACTTAGAAATTTGGCGCAACCTCGACTCACGCAAACACTCACACAAGCACACACACTTACACCAGAGCAACACACACGACACGCAGCGCTCAAATTTCTAAGTATATGATGTATAACCAACTAGCCCAACAACAAGTTTTATTAAGCTATAATGTGACGTGCTCCTTATAAACATAGTGCAAAGCACACATGCACTCAATTATTATGACATTGTAGCGAAATTTTTTTTGTCGCTACCGTTGTTACAGAAGCTGATAGTGCGCGGGAAAATTTGATTTTTAGAGTTCGCTAGACAGTACAGAAAAAGTTCGTTAAATCGAACTCGAAGGAGTCTAAAGAATTGCTCAAACTAGGCGGAGTTTTAATTGGCCGGCGGGTGCTAGAATGAAGCGACATCGTGCCCAAAGTAGCCACCTCTGGACTCGTTATCGCGACTTAGGCGCCTCTTCGTTTGTGGCAGGTTATTTCGTGAATTACGTTCAGGAAGCTCTCAAAGCGAAAAAAAAAAAAAAAAATTGATCAGTCAGTGATACGTGAAGAAGCACCGACATGAACTCGTGTGAACAGTAAGCCGTTAATGTCTAAATATATGACGAGAAACGTGCATGACACCCTTTATGCTCCAAAACCCGTTAATTTACATATGAAGGTCAATACAATCCAAGTTAAATGAGTAAAATTAGTATTTTTTCGCGATTATGTCACGACCCCATAAGCACCGTTTGCAGCTTGCCCAAGAGCTTCAGCACAGCGTCCGAATAAGGCTCATTCATGCGCTGAGAAAAGCAGGCGCTTTCAGATGTGGATACCAACGCATTTCAATATATATATATATATATATATATATATATATATATATATATATATATATATATATATATATATATATATATATATATATATATATATATATATATATATATATATATATATATATATATATATATATATATATATATATATATATATATATATATATATATATATATATATATATATATATATATATATATATAAACTTCGAGAATAGTGCAGTATAGGAAACAAAACAATAAAATATTTATTTAATCCTAACAGTTTCGGCTGGTGGACCAGCCTTCTTCGGAGGATGTAAGTGAAATGATACAAGTTCCCGTAGCAGAGGGTCACCCTCACAGTTTAAAGACCCTCCAAAAAAAGAGAGAGAGAAAAAGACAAGCGGGCGAACGAGGTAGCAACAGACAACAAGAAGCAGAAGAAAGAGAGGAACTAGAAAGGAGCGACGGAGAGCCGCCGGAAACGAGCGGGTAATTCTGGCATTGTTGCTGCGTATAGGTAAGACGCGCCGCCAGCGGAGGCGACCAAGAAAAACGGAAAAATGTGGAACATGTTGCCGCTTACTCGCATCCCACACATGGATCGAGTTTAAGTTCACGTGGTTCGGCGGCTGGCCCGTGGCATCGGGCCACACACACACACACACAAGAAGCATACGACCCGCTCCAGCTTTCGGAATATAATGGCCACGTTGGAAAGCTAATGTGCCCTCTCCCCCTCCCTCCACCTGCCCTCTCTTGCAGAAAAATGTACAACCAGTCATACTAAAAATAAATAAATGGGTATTCTTGTAAAGGATGAAAATATATAAAAATAAATAATACTAAAAAGTACTCAGAAATGAAAATAAAGTTTAATAATACTAACACAATCCGTTCGGTTTACGTAGCATCGAATTCGTTTAGTTTCGCTATATTGACTAACTTGCGTGTGCGACTTCACGTATGTATAAATAAATTAATTGAGTAATTCAATTTCTGTGTTTCACGAAACGTCGCGGAGACACGTCAGTCGCCCAGGGCTCTCGTTGATTCCGTGGGTAAGTGATCTGAATTTCTTTATAAAGTATGACTCCCGCTGTTCGCGCTCCCGTGTGTTCTGGAAGCCGGATTGTAGGAGTATGACACTTACGCGTTCGAAAGAGTGACCAGGAAGATTGATATGTTTGGAGAACGGCAAATTGGGGAGGCCCTTTACGTGTGCCCTGTGGTTGTTGAAACGCAAACGGAACGCGGTTTCCGTGTGTCCAATATATTCCTGTTTGCACACCTCGCAGCGAATTTTGTATACCACATTGGCTGAGTCACAGTTAAGGTCGTCTTTAATTTTGTACACATAGTCTGAACAGGAGGCTTCGGCCGTATCTGTGGTCACCATGTGTGTGCACACCCTGCAGCGAGGTTTCCCGCACGGTCTACAGCCCTGATGGTGGTCGGATTTGTGTGTTTTCGCCCTGACCAGTAAGTCTCTCAGGTTTTTATTTCTTCGGTAAACCACCTTGGGCGGAGTCTGAAAAATGGCAGAGAGGCGACTACTCTGTTTAAGTATGTTGAAGTGGCGGTTTAGTATAGAATTCACCCGAGGGGCGGCGGCGCAGTATGTGAGGATTAAATTTGCCCCTGAAGTTATATCATCCTTATTCCCACCTTTTTCTCCCATTGTTGATTCTCGGTCCAAAGAGCGAGCGCGCTGAATTGCATTGTCAATTATTTTTTCGGGGTACTTTTGACGCAAGAAGGCTGTTCTCAATTCCTGTGCGTGGGTGTCAAATTGCGTGATTTCAGAGCAAATTCTTCTGTATCTGTGGGCTTGAGAGTAAGGAACACCTGTTTTGCAGTGATGGGGGTGACTGCTATGGAAATGCAGATACTGTTGGCGGTCTGTTGGTTTTTTATACAGGGAAGTAGATATGGTGGTGCCACTGAGTGATACAGTGACATCCAGAAAGTGAACACTCTTCTGCGAATACGTGTGCGTGAATGTTATCGAAGGATGCACGGAGTTGAAACCGGAAATGAATTTGGAAAGATTATGTTCACTATCGGCCCACACGAAGAATATATCATCGAGGAAGCGTCGGTAAAATATAGGTTTGAATGGAGAATTTTCGAGGAAAGGAATCTCTAAAGAGGCCATGAAAATATTTGCGTAATTTGGGGCCATCTTGGTTCCCATGGCAGTTCCGTTTACTTGCAGATAATGATTTTGGTCGAATTCAAAGTTATTATGTTTAAGTACCAGATTTAGGAGCACCTCTAAAGCGCTTTCGTCGAATTCACTCGTCGATTTACTTTTTCCATAGGCGGCGACTGTGGCGGCGATTCCTTCGGTGTGGGGAATGTTTGTGTACAGTGATGAGACATCCATGGTGACCAAATAGCAATCTAGAGGTACCACAAGTTTTGAGACTTCTCGAAGGAAGTGGCTGGTATCTTTGATGTATGATGGGAATGATTGTGGGATGTGCCTAATCAGAGAGTCAATGAAACTAGAAATTTTTTCAGTAGCAGTACCGTTGCTGGAAACTATGGGTCGGCCGGGATTGTTAGTCTTGTGAATTTTGGGTAGTAAATAGAAACGCCCGGGAGACGATTTGCCAGGTGACATCATTTTAAGCATAGGGTAGGTTATCTTCCCACTTTTACGTAATGATATTAGTGAGGCCTTAATAGTACTTTCATACTCCTCTGTCGGATCACAAGGGAGTTGTTTATAGAAATTTTCATCTGCCAGTTGGCGAAGCCCTTCTTTGATGTAGTCAGTCCTGTCGAGTACAACCACAGCACCACCCTTATCAGCTGGTTTAATAACGATGCTCTGGCTGTCACTTAAACTGCGCAAAGCCTCCCGCTCCTCTTTGGACATATTGTTGCGAATGGGTCGGCGCTTTTCATATTCCCTGATTATATCACCCTGGACGGCTGAAATGTACATGTCTAGATATTTGTCTCGTTGTTCACCTGGAGTCCAAGATTTATCTGAAAATTGATTTTGTTGCGTGCTGCTTCGATCATGAAAATATTCTTTTAGACGCATGGTTCTGGCAAAGTTGTCCAAATCTTGGTAAAGTTTAAACTCATCAATTTTGCCAGAGGCGGGGCAGAAGGTTAGACCTTTTGATAGCAGCTTTGTTTGCGCAGGTGTCAATGATTTGCCGGAAAGGTTAACCACATTGGTGACATCGGTGCTCTTTTGTGGAGATTGATGAGAGGTAACAGGTTGATCTGTATACGTTGTGGGAGGATTGCTGGCGGAGTATTTTAAAGTCGGCCACGCACCGTCTCGCCTCAATTTCTTGTTTTTCTTGCCCTGAATGGTCAATCTCTTTTTTCCTTCGTATTTGGCCAGCTCTTCTGTTTCTGACTGCGTTAAACTTGACTGTTTTAGGCGCGCCTTTTGTTCTTCTTTAAGTTCCGCGGCCTTACGTGTACTGTGTTGTATTACGACCTGTGTAAGCCTAATAGATGCATCTTTTAAGATATTGCTCCATTGCCGCTGCTCATTTTTGTTGAAGTTATTCATTGCGGGTTGCAGTTGAACAGTGAGACCCTTTGGTGCGAATCCCGATGAAATATATGTTTTAAGGTTTGAAGCATGCATTTCAAACCTCACGCGCTTATCAACATTCTTTCTTAAGGCCATGAAATCACGAGACCAATATGTGCTGGAGCGGGCCGTACCTGACGGGTTGTTGAGTCAGTCCCTGCGTGGGGGAGAAGCACTGTCACCGGAAGCCTCTGGGTGGCCCCGAGTCGTGTTGTAGGGGCTCTTGCTTCTTGATCTATGAGGAGCACCCCTCGGCGCTCGTGGTGATGATCGTCGGCATGGGATCTCGCTTGCTTCGCGGATGCTGGGGTTCTCACTCCGGGAATGACAATGTTCTCTCGGTGGGCCCGGCAGACCTAATGGTGCATGGTCAAGCCAGGTTGAC